ATTAAACAAAAGTACCAACCGCTCCAACATTATATCCCCCCCTGCTTTTAACATTTCTGTCATGATCCCATCAGTTCCAGCTGCTTTACCCCCTTTCATTCTACATAATGCCTCACGTACCTCCCCCACACTTACATTCTGCTCTTCTTCACTCCTAAAAGATGATATACCTCCCTGACCAGTGCATGAAATTACCGCCTCCCTTTCTTCCTCAACATTTAAAAGTTCCTCAAAATATTGTCGCCATCTACCTAATACCTCCCTCTCCCCATCTACTAACTCCCCTACTCTGTTTTTAACTGACAAATCCATACTTTCCCTAGGCTTTCTTAACTTGTTTAACTCACTCCAAAATTTTTTCTTATTTTCATTAAAATTTCTTGACAGTGCCTCTCCCACTCTATCATCTGCTCTCCTTTTGCACTCTCTCACCACTCTCTTCACCTTTCTTTTACTCTCCATATACTCTGCTTTTCTTATTTACATCATATTTACGCACCAAACATTCGCGAATTTTCAAGATTTGCGAGAATCTTGATCCCCTAACCCTTGCGAATGTGGAGGGCCTCCTGTATTATTAAAATTAGTCAAATTACCCAATTCAGTGCACCTTACAGGACTGACCCTTTGTTTGTTGGTACCCCCAAAAATCACTGTCAAACTGAAAAACTCTTCTTATAGGGTGACAGGATGTTTATTCAAGATGAATTCTGCCAGGGAACATTTTTTTAAAAACCCAAGAGTTTTGGCATAATCACCAAAATGTGAGGACACTAAGTGTTAGACTGACGGATGGCCATGACTTTGTGTGGATGGTATCTTTCAGCAAACTCCTGCATTTCATGCCATTTAGCACACATTTTTTTGACAAGTACAATAGGCACATCATCTCTTCCCTCCTCTTCCTCTGATGACAGCTCCTCTTCAATAATTTCCGGCCTTTGCCTTGATCTCACTCTTGTGTCTTGCACAGGGTCAGCAGCTTAAATTTTTTCCCTTTGGCCCAGTATCATGCTAAATGAAGACTCTGATTTACCAAAAAGTTTTGCTATATCACCCACACGGAGCCTATCTTCATATTTTCGAATAACGTCCTTTTTAAACTCAATAGTGCTTTTTACAATTTTTATTTTTGCTTTTATCCCTTAATCCTTCTTTGGACCCATGATGGTTTATCCCACAATAAAAAAAAATTGCACCAAAACTGCAAAATAACAAGATAAGTGATGCGTTGAGGTATATGTGGAGACAAAGAACGTTATCTATGGAGGAAAAGAAGGGAATGTATGAAAGTACGTATAGTGGTACCAACACTCTTATATGGGTGTGAAGCTTGGGTTGTAAATACTGCAGCGAGGAGGCGGTTGGAGGCAGTGGAGATGTCCTGTCTAAGGGCAATGTGTGGTGTAAATATTATGCAGAAAATTTGGAGTGTGGAAATTAGAAGATGTGGAGTCAATAAAAGTATTAGTCAGAGGGCTGAAGAGGGGTTGTTGAGGTGGTTTGGGCATTTAGAGAGAATGGATCAAAGTAGAATGACATGGAGAGCATATAAATCTGTAGGGAAAGGAAGGCAGAGTAGGGGTCGTCCTCAAAAGGGTTGGAGGGAGGAGGTAAAGGAGGTTGTGTGGGCGAGGGGCTTGGATTTCCAGCAAGCGTGCATGAGCGTGTTAGATAGGAGTGAATGGAGACGAATGGTATTTGGGACCTGGCGAGCTGTTGGAGTGTGAGCAGGGTAATATTTAGTGAAGGGATTCAGGGAAACCGGTTATTTTACATAGCCGGACTTGAGTCCTGGAAATGGGAAGTACGTACAATGCCTGCACTTTAAAGGAGGGGTTTTGGGATATTGGCAGTTTGGAAGGATATCTTGTGTATCTTTATATGTATATACTTCTAAACTGTTGTATTCTGAGCACCTCTGCAAAAACAGTGATTATGTGTGAGTGAGGTGAAAGTGTTGAATGATGATGAAAGTATTTTCTTTTTGGGGATTTTCTTTCTTTTTGGGTCACCCTGCCTCGGTGAGAGACGGCCGACTTGTTTATAAAAAAAAAAAAAAAAAAAAAAAAAAAAAAAAAAAGGTCAAAATGCACAGCAAGAACTCTTTGAACGCTTTGGACTCTGTCTGGTGATCATGTGATCTGAGCATTGTCAGTTGACAACCAAGACCATGTATGAAACCCAAATCAAACAAATTGGTTCGAAAACCGATTTGTCTCACAACTAGTCTGTTCGACAACCGAGGTTCCACGGTAAAAATTCAATAAATGATAAAATTCAATAAAGGAGACAATAAATAAATTAATTAACTAAATAAATAAATAAATAAATAAATAAATAAATGAAATAAATAAATAAAGTTTATTTCTTTGTAAAGGTTACAATGTGTAAATACAATTTTGATTTGCTAAGTACAAAGATAGCCACTATCATGCTGAGGCATTTTGGGCAAACTAATCCTAATACATAGTAACTAATTAAAACTAGTTAAGATAATAGTACATAGTAATTATACTTAAAACTAAACATGGAATAGTGGTTAGCTGTTTTACAATCTTATTTGAACTTAATAAATCTTATGTAAACTTAGTACAAAATCTAACTTACAAGTAATGGTGCAGGTGGTAATATTTTATGGAATGGCAGAATTAAAAGCGAGGTGGTCACATGATAAGACTAAATAGCAGATGTTTTGGCAGGTTTGGTTAATATTGAGAAACAAAATGATTTTATGGATTGGCAGAATTAAGAGCCTAGAGGTCACATGATAAAACTAGTTAGCAGATGTTTGGTTGATTTGGTTAATATTGTGAGATAAGATGATTATTTAGCAAAGTCCTAAATTTATAAGCTATCTGGGGATCCTTGGCCTGTTCCTGTAGCGAGTTCCAGATCTTTGGGCCTTTTAAGTGCATAGCGTTCTTGCATAGTGAGAGTCTGACTCGAGGGATGTTGAAAAGTGCTTTATGCCTTGTATTGTGGCTGTGCATTCTGTTGTAACTGTCAAGGAGTTGTTTTAGGGGAGGGTTTACAGTAGAGTTTAAAATTCTGTATATGTAGTAGGCACAATAATGTGAGTGTATGTCTTGTATATTTAGCAGGCTGAGTCTTTTGAAAAGTGGTGGGGTGTGCTGTCTAGCACAGGAGCTGGTTATCACCCACACAGCAGCTTTTTGTTGGATTATTAAGGGTCTAAGGTGGTTGGCAGTGGTTGAGCCCCAGGCACAAATACCATAGGTGAGGTAAGGATATATTAGAGAGTGGTACAGGGTAAGGAGAGTCGTTTGTGGTACATCGTATCTTGGAAAGGATTCCTACTGATTTGGAAATTTTCTTGGCTATGTGATAGGTATGGAACTGATATTTAAGATTATAGTCAAGGAGAAGACCTAGAAATTTGCCTTCCATGTGTCTTGATATAGAGGAACCATTTAACAGTATGTTGATTTGAATATTTGAGGCTCTGTTGCCAAACAGCATGAAGTATGTTTTATCTATGTTGAGAGTGAGTTTGTTGGTCATCATCCAAGCAATATCTTTAGCAGTTCGTTGTTTACAGTGTTTCCAAGCACAGCTGAGCCTGAATGGGAGTAGACATATGTAGTGTCATCTGCTAACAGAACTGGTTTAAGGAGCTGGGATGCACTGGGGAGATCATTGATGTAGATGAGAAAGAGGAGTGGGCCTAGGACACTACCCTGGGGTACTCTTACAGCTACAGGTTGGATAGCAGAGTTGACGCCATTTGCATCCTAACATTATTATACAGCAGGGTTCTGTTCATACGCATCCACTTCCATACCTCATGGTAAGTTCATACATATCCAGTACTATACCTCAGCAACACACCTTGGTCCACATCAATTGCTCATTCAACCTTATCCCCCTCCTTGTCTGGTGGCCACATGCCTTTGCTACACATCCAGCAACCTCACCCATACCACCCACAACCCCTCACTCATACTGCCCACAACCCCTGCCCATACCATCCACCCCTATAATTCCCCTACATCCACATGCCTTCATCCATACCATGCCTCCCCCACCCATATCTTCTGACCCCGTAATTTCCCCACAGCCACACGATTTCATCCACACCACTCAAACCAACAACCTACCTCTACACAATCCACCTATACCATTTCCCCATGGTAATAATCCCCATAACCTTATGCCCACACCTTACCCAACCTTTCAAGCTAATACACCATCCACATACCTAATCATTTAGTCACCCACCACCCTCATTACTGCCTACACCACCAACTGCATACTCATCCACCCAGTCACCCATTATCCAATCATCCATCCATACTGGGCAACCAACAACCACACCTTTCACCCACACCCACAGCCTCAAGCTCACACAGCCCCACTCCCACACCTTACCCATGCTCTCACTCATGCCACTTCCCCACAATTCTAGCCCACACAGCTCTACACCCACACCTTAACCATGCTTTCACAGCCCACACACCCAAACATGCCATGTACACACCTAGTCATGTAGCCACCACAACCATAATTACTGCCCACACACACACAATCATACCCTCACCCACCCAGTCACCCATCATCCACACCACCACCTACAGGGTCACCATCTCACTGCTTCCAGCCTCCACCATCCAGCATCCTTCATCTCCCAACACCAACCTCCAGCTCCTGCCCCACCCTTTCACTGTTCAGTCTCCATCTCCTACGAGAGAAGTCCCCCAATCCCCAACCCCCAATCCCCAACCCTCAGTCCCCTGTCCCCACACTGCATCTGCTCACCTCAACTGCTCTGACCCCTCCTTTATAACCCCCATACAGTTGCAATGAGTAGGACAACCAAACAATAAGTTTGAGGTCAGAAGGACAAGCTTAGTTAAAAGTGGCCAATGAGCCTTGGTTTTATTCCTGAGAAATACAAGATTTAATCAAACAGAAGCCAGGGAAGAAGCTTCACGCTAACTGAAGTTAATGGGTACAATTATAAGAGACAGAGTACTTACCAAGATCCTGTCCATGAGCCCTGTGGTTGCCCATCACATGCAAGAGCGAAAAGCCTTCCCAAACAACACTTGTTCCAAGTGGACAAGAAGGAATGACTGTCTCCTGTGAGTGTCTGGTGATGAGATAACCTTTAGACCTTGGAGGTGGACCTGGAAGGGCTGAGTCTCCAGGTAAACCATGGATACCTGTACAAGTGCAATAAACTTGTTCAATAAAGATGAATGCCCCATAATATGCAACAGCAAGTTTGTATATTAATTTAAGTATATATGTATTTTAGTGCATGTAAACCATAATAAATCTTGAGATTTTAAACATGTTGGTTCACTTTTTTCCTTATATGCATTTACTAATTTGGATTGTTTTATAGCATGATTCACCCCAACTTATATTCATAGGAATTTCCAGCCAACTTAGAATAACCTAATGTTTGAGTTTAATATGTAACTTATAATACTTAAAGTAATTCTACAGTATATAATTTATATATTTATACATAACAAAAAATAAGAAAACTTAATACTGTAGATGTATTTTACTAACTTGCAATACAAATTCAAGATACATACTATGAATAAAAAATCACTCATTGAGCTAACTTTTGGCTTCTGGTTAATGCACACATAAAAATTAAATGATCTGCAACAGTAGTGACCTTGTTCTCCTTGTCGACCTGGTAGACCATTAAAACCTTGAATGCCCCTGAGTCCCCGGGCACCAGGTTGCCCTGGAGGCCCTGGACGACCAGCATCACCAACCATACCCTTCTGTCCCTTCTGACCATCTCGACCAGGTTTACCCATGAAACCAGCTTCACCAAGACCACCTGCAATGAGAAAAATATTTAGACACGGCAATTACACAAAAATCTTAATTTGTGCATTGATGCAATATCCACTGCTGTAAAGGCCTTCCCTTACCTCCCTACCCTGGGCTATTTTAGGTATTTTTACTAGGTCTGCTTCTATTATTGGGATATACTAAACCATGATTAATCACTCATGGTTATATTTAATTATCCATGAAATATAGTAGAACTTCAATTTTTTTTTTTTTTTTGTCAAATGATGGACTCAGCAGGTGTAATATAGGAGTTGCCTGAGGCTGTGATTAATGAACACAGGATAGGCTGCTTTAGTTCCTGGAATGCATACAGTGTTTATTTTGGAGTGCTTTTCAATTAGAATTTATTGAATTCTGAGTAAAATGAACAAATTACCAACTTCTGTGCACTTTATGCTCCTTGTGCTCAATTGATAGAATGGAAGGCACACTAGTGAAATAGCTAAGAATACAGTTGAAATTAGCATTGGCATTAAAATACGATTTGAAATAGGGGAAATTGCCAATGTGTAAATTATGTCACAACTGCCAACTTTGTGCCTGCATAATTCCATAAGTTTTACATCAAATTATATATTTTTGGTGTCCTTACCTTCAGAAAAAAAGATTCTTTGCAATTTCAGAAAAAAATTCTTGAAAAAAATGATTAACACCTAGGTACCTACTTACTGCTAGGTCAACAGTGGAAACAACTGTAAGGAAACATGCCCAACACTTACACTCGTGCCGAAGATCGAACTATGGACACTCCAGTATGTGAGCTGAGTGTGCTGCCAACCGAGTATGAATGTACCAATTGCAGTATAATATTGTATGCAAAAGTTACAGTTATACAAGTATAAAGCAGAAATTAATTACAGACGTTCTGGAATTAATTACAATAATATATAGTGTAACACAGGATAAAAACACAATTTGATAGGCTGATCAAAAATTACAATAATACATGTATACAGTGTAGTATATGATTAAATTATATGTTTGATGGCCTTACCTACATTTCTAATAATTGCAATGATATAGCAGGTGTGGCCAATCCAGACATAGATAAAATCAAAAGATTTCTATTAAAATCTTGATACAAATCTTGAGATTTTTTAAAATATCATACACTGTTTTTTCACATTCACTGTACAGTTGATAAATTTCCATCTCCTATTCACTGTAGTATTTCCGTTTTGAACAAACCCTGAAGTTCAAAAAATAAAAACATTAACCAGTACTTGCTAAGCAACAACTGATGGAACTTCATACATGAATCAGCCACCTTTCCAAAGTCTTATATCTACGATAGAGATGCACATCAAATCTTCTACTTACGGCACTGATTAGCCAAAATGCTCTCAGTATTATCTCATTTAATGTGCTACCAGGTAATTTATGATGATCCTAATAATTGTGTCATACCTCTAGACATTAATCAATATACTGAACATACCTTTCTATATAACAATGATCAATTTAGATTTAGGATGAGGTATGGAACAATTTATACAGGATTACCTAAGAGAGAAAATGTGTGCACTAGTAATATGAATATGTCTATGGCCATCATGAAAAATGCCCATAACCTGCAGTTCCTAATTACCTGAAAATTATTGCGTATGACTTAGTTCAAGACAGTTTGCCCACCCTCGCATATATAATACACGATAAAACTGTTTTGTGGACATACCTACATTACCAATATCACCTCTGTTGCCTAGTAGTCCGGGTGTACCTGCCAAACCTCAATTCCTACATCTCCTCGGACACCCTGAAAGTTAAATAAAAACATCTTGTAATAATCTGTATTTCAGCTAGACAGTATTATTCATAATTATTCTATATTAATATGTACTTAAGTTTTCCTTCATTATCAGTTTAAATTGTGATGTCTAGGCTCTACTGAACTGTCACAGTCAATTCCCTTATTTTCATATAGTCGGACTTGAGTCCTGGAAATGGGAAGTACAATGCCTGCACTTTAAAGGAGGGGTTTGGGATATTGGCAGTTTGGAGGGATATGTTGTGTATCTTTATACGTATATGCTTCTAAGCTGTTGTATTCTGAGCACCTCTGCAAAAGCAGTGATAATGTGTGAGTGTGGTGAAAGTGTTGAATGATGATGAAAGTATTTTCTTTTTGGGGATTTTCTTTCTTTTTTTGGGTCACCCTGCCTCGGTGGGAGACGACCGACTTGTTGAAAAAAAAAAAAAAAAAAAAAAAAAATTCCCTTTGTTGAATTCTCCCAAAGAAGCATTTGGAAAGACAGCCGTCTCTCACTGAGGCAGGGTGACCCAAATAAAAAGAAACACTTTCACCATCATTCACACAATATCACTGTCTTGGCAGAGGTGCACAGATATGACAGTTTAAATGTCACTCCAAATAACCAATATTCCAAACCCCTCCTCTAAAGTGCGGGCATTGTACTTCCCACCTCGAGGACTCAAGCAGTGAAGGTGTCATGTCTAAGGGCAATGTGTGGTGTAAATATTATGCAGACAATTCATAGTGTCGAAATTAGGAGGAGGTGTGGAGTTACAAAAAGTATTATCCAGAGGGCTGAAGAGGGGTTGTTGAGGTGGTTTGATCATTTAGTGAGAATGGAACAAAGTATGTATACATACATATATATAGGAGGGGGTGTGAATTAAATTATGGGGAATCAAATACAAAATGGAAGTTGACACAGTTACTTTTTGCTGATTATACTGTGATTATGGGAGATTCTAAAGAAAAGTTGCAAAGGTTAGTGGACGAGTTCGGGATGGTGTGTAAAAGTAGAAAGTTGAAAGTGAACATAGAGTAAGGTGATGAGGGTGTCAAACGATGTAGAAAAAGAAAAATTGGATATCACATTGGAGAGAGGGAGTATGGAAGAAGTGAATGTTTTCAGATATTTGGGAGTTGACTTGTCAGTGAATGGGTTTATGAAGGATGAGGGTAACCATAGAATTGATGAAGGAAAAAAGGTGAGTGGTGTGTTGAGGTATCTGTGGAGACAAAAAAACATTATCTATGGAGGCAAAGAAGGGAATATATGAAAGTACAGTGGTACCAACACTCTTATATAGGTGTGAAGCTTGGGTTGTAAATGCTGCAGCAAGGAGGTGGCTGGAGGCAGTGGAGATGTCCTGTCTAAGGGCAATGTGTGGTGAAAATATTATGCAAAGAATTTGGAGTGTGGAAATTAGGAGAAGGTGTGGAGTTACTAAAAGTATTAGTCAGAGGGGTGAAGAGGGGCTGTTGAGGTGATCTGGTCATTTAGAGAGAATGGATCAAAGTAGAATGACTTGGAGAGTGTATAAATCTGTAGGGGAAGGAAGGAGGGGTAGGGGTCATCCTTGAAAAGATTGGAGGGAGGGGGTAAAGGAGGTTTTGTGGGCAAGGGGCTTGGATTTCCAGTAAGCGTGTGTGAGCGTGCTAGATAGGAGTGAATGGAGACGAATGGTTTTTGGAACCTGACGAGCTGTTGGAGTGTAAGCAGGGTAATATTTAGTGAAGGGATTTAGGGAAACCGGTTAGCCGGACTTGAGTCCTGGAAATGGGAAGTACAATGCCTGCACTTTAAAGGAGGGGTTTGGGATATTGACAGTTTGGAGGGACTTCCAAATTGTCATATCTGAACACCTCTGCAAAGACAGTGATTATGTATGAGTGAGGTGAAAGTGCTGAATGATGATGAAAGTATTTTCTTTTTGAGGATTTTCTTTCTTTTTGAGTCACCCTGTCTTGGTGGGAGACAGCCGACTTGTTAAAAAAAAAAAAATACATATATATATGTACATATATACATATACACACAAACATACATACATTTGTAGTACAGTATTGCACTTCACTTTTTATTTTTAGCTAGACAAAAAGGATACTGGAGATCAATGATTATTCTCATTTAAATCATTACCTTTAATCCAACAATTCCTGGTGGCCCAGGTAAACCAGAACTTCCAATGTCTCCTGGCTCTCCAACTATGCCAAGCAGTCCTGGGAAGCCTTGGAAGCCTCTGTCCCCCACAACACCTGACAAACCAGGTGGCTGGGAGTATCCTTGACGTCCAATATCTCCTGCCTGACCCTTTGGGCTATTGAAGCGAAAAGATACATATGTGCATTTAATCTGCTTTAGATAGTAAACACTGTGCCTAATAAAGCAAATGTACTTAAAAACCAAAATGCTTTAATTTGCAAGCATAATAAAACTAAAGTTTAAAACATGAATGTATCCCATCACAGTAGGGTGGCCCAAAGAATGAAATGAATTTGCCACTTATCAAGCTGATATATGAATACAGTAGATCGTCATTTAGCACGAGTTTATTTGGCACGATTTGGGTATAGCACGATTGAAGAATTGCGGCACAATTTTATGTAACACATCGTATGATGAATTTAACACGGTTCAGTTTGCGGGAAGGAAAAAAAAAACTTCCCTTTTCCTCAAGCGGCCGCTTTGTTGTGGTTCAGCTGGGGAGACCTCCCGCCGTCTCCAGCCACCCCCTGACACCACCCCACCATCAAAGCATTCGTACTTCATACGTATCCAGTCCAACTTCTCTGAATTGTGTTTTGATCTTTTAATTGCTATATCTTGTATCTGTCAAGCAATCATGACGCCCAGAAGGCATTTAATTAAGTCTTAGAATTAACGAAGGAAACAAAGTTATTAGACAAGACATAACCTGTGGCCATAATGAAGTGTTACTTTGTACACATAAAAAGAGGTAAACATAAGTTTGTATGACTGAATGACTGACTTACTGAATGACTTGACTGACTTACTAAATGACTTGATTGACTTACTAACAACTTGACTGACTTACTGAATGACTTGACTGACTTTATTTATTTATTATTAATTTGGACATGATACATAGATGTACAAAGAAATACAGTGGTTAAGTGTAACATGCTAAAAGCCCCTTGAATGCAGAGCATTATGGGCAGGCTTAAAATTAACTTAAGATTAACTAAGCAATGATATATTCAGTGGTAAAAATTATAGTAAACAAATAAAAATTAAGCACAAATGAGTATTTCAAAGACAGGTCATATGGTCATTTACTGAGTTGCTGTGCATTCAGTAGAATGGAGCATTCTGTTAGGTAATGTAATTAAAAAAAACAAAGTTTGATAGGGTGAGTAAGTGATTTTTAAGAAGAGACTTGAATTTATAAACAGTGTTTCTTGTATATTCACAGACAATGAATTCCAGATTTTTGGGCCTTTTATGTGCATCAAGTTTTTGCATAGTGTGAGATGGACACGAGGAACATCAAAGAGTGATCTGTGCCTTGTGTTATGGTCATGTGTTCTGTTGAGGTTGGTAAGGAGACGTTTGAGGGGAGGGCTTATATCCGAGTTAAGTGTTCTACGTATGTAGTAGGTACAATAATAAGTATGGATGTTTTGTATGGTGAGTAGGTTGAGTTTTGAATATTGGTGGTGTGTGCTGCCTGTAGGAGGAATTTGTTATCATTCTGACTGCAGCCTTTTGTTGGGTAATTAATGGTCTGAGATGGTTTACTGTTGTTGAGCCCCATGCACAAATTCCATAGGTGAGATAGGGGTAAATAAGCAAGTGATATAGGGCCAGGAGGGCTGACTGTGAAACACAGTACCGTATCTTTGATAGTATGCCTGCAGTCTTGGAAATTTGTTGTACATGTGTTTGAAATTTGAGACTATTAGCAAGGTGGATTCCTAAGAATTTTCCCTTTGTGAGCTTTGTGATAGGTGATCCGTTTACAATTATGTTAAGAGGGACATCTGTAGCTCTGTTTCCTAACTGAATGAAGTAGGTTTTGTCAATGTTGACTGACTTACTGAATGACATGACTGACTTACTGAATGACTTGACTGACTTACTGAATGACTTAAAGTTAGACACTCCAGTACAACCATCAACTTCATTACCAGAACCTCTACCATCCACCTCAGCCCAGTAGGGCCACAGCATAACTCTCCACTCTTCACAATCATCCACAAACACCAGCACCCACAATTTAAGGTTAGAAATATTGTTATTTCTGTTACATTTGTAGTCTTAACCCGTAAACGGTCCAAACGTATATATACGTTTTTTCAACATTTGAAAGTATGTAAAAAAGTAGATCTTCTTTTTGTTTTTCTACATTTGAAAATGTGTAAAAAACTGATCTACTTATTTTTTTTGTTATATTTGAAAATACGTAAAAAAAACTTAGATCTACTTTTGTAGCACTACACATGTGAACGTAGATCTGCTTGGACCGTTTACGGGTTAAGCAGTAAAAACAACATAATACTATCGCAACAATGAACTACAATTACATATTCACTTTTATTTTTTTAAGATGTGGAGGCCTAAAAAGAGTCGTTTGGCTTTTTTGCGGCTCTGAGGAACGTAATCCTATTTTTCCCATAAGTTCTTCAGTTCATTTAACATGGTTTTACCTAACACGGTGTTTTTAGGAACGTAACTACCGTGTTAAATGACGGTCTACTGTATTAATATTTGTGGTTAAGTAATTAGATGAGTAAATGGTGACCTTATTGCTGACCACTCATTGGCACAAATAACTGTACACCCTGTTATAATAAGGGAGAAGATCGGGCTGGAGATCCATATTTTGATTTCCAAGTGATGGTCCAAATTGACTTGGATATAGAAGTCCCACTTGTGAGAGAGAAACGAGTCTAGAAAAGTGGTGAGGTGATCAAGATGCAAGTGTTCCAGGATGATAATTTTATGTTGGATTACTTTAGCCGCAAGTGCTTGGGAAGGATAATTAACCCTTTGAGAGTCTGTCCTGTAGTTCTACAGCTTTGAAGTTTGGGTCCAAGCCATAGTTCTACGCCATGAGCTCAGCTCAATCAGATAAGCTGTGAGCGGTAAATTTGGGCCCAGATATGAGAGAATGCATCTATGTGGTAGGAGTACACCGTATAAAACAAATCCTGCAGGACGCAGTGCATAACGAGAAAAAACTGCAACTGTGTTTGTGGATAAAAACGGAATTTGTTGTGTATTTTCGTATAGTTTTTACGGTTGTATTCACAATTTCTTGGTCTCATTTGATAGAATCAAAGATGTATTACAGAAATGGAAATGATTTTGATTGGTTTTAGTACTGAAAATAGCTTGAAATTGAGCTCAAAGTAGCGGAAGTGTTCGATTTTTGCCGATGCTCAAGAGTAAACAAATGACATCACACATCCAATACACATCAACTGGTGGGTCAAATATACGTTCACGAATGTGCTGATATTATTTATAAAATTATTACAATATTGCATAACAGTAAATCTTCAATTTTTTGGTGTGAATAAAAAATCAAATTGGAATTCATCTGTAAAGCCTGGAAACGTAACTAATAAACAGAGGAAATGTTATTTTAGTGCCAGGAATGCCTGCATTGTTTATTCTGGACTTTATTCTGAAACCAGAATATTTTGAACTTTGTGTGAAATTAGCCAAATTATCAATTTCTGATCACTTTATTAGGTAGTTGAAATAGTTGATTGGCCAGTTTCTTGTGCTCAATCGATAATATAGAAGTGATACTAGCGAAATAGCTAAGAATTTGGTCGACCAGACTAATGTAATTGGCGTAAAATAAGAGTCACAGTAGGCAAAACCGCCGATGCGTAAATATCGCTGATGCAGTAAAATTCGTGATAGTGTAATTTCATCAATTTTCCATCAAATTTTGTATTTTTTGTTTTATTGCCTTCAGAAAAAGATTCTCTACTATTTCATAAGAAAAAATAAAAAAATTTTTTTTTAAATTCTTGGATCCTGTGGATAAGGCATAGAACTATGCCTTGGACCCTCAAAGGGTTAAATACCATTACTCAAGCAAAAATTATGCTTCATATTTTTTCTTAATAAAATAACTGTCCTGATTTGTATGTCATTAAAAACACTAAAAAGTTTTTCACTGCATATTCAGGCTTCCATAAATTAAATTTATGAGGCCTTGAAATGCTGCTCACTGTCAACTCAATCATGTTACACAAGATGATTAAGAAAATGACCAAAACAGTATGAGTAGAGATAACCAGCAATAAGTGGAGAGGTATAGTTATGTCACAAATATGAGTGAGAAAAGAAACACTGAAAGTGAAAGAAAGATATTTAATTTGGTCTTTTGAGTAAATAATGGTAGCGATCTCAGCAAATGTTATTAAAGAAGTGAAACATACTACAGGTACTGTGACTCACCCCCGTAAGCCAGGGGCACCGGGTGTTCCTGGTGCACCTCTCACTAAGCTTCTGTCTCCTGGTGGACCTTCAAGACCTGGCAACCCTGGAGTCCCACTTCTACCACGAGGACCAGGAAACCCTAAAGAAATCAGTTATTTTTGCGAGACAGTGTAAGATACTGTGGTAGGAAAGTCAGGTACAACTTCAAAATCTTTTATTACATTTCCTTCTTTCCTGAAAGATGTCCATTACTCCACAAGAGTGGAAGATACTGAAAATTCACTAATAATGGTATTATAATATCGCAATAATATCACATATTTAAAAATACATTTTCTTTCTTACACCTGATTTAAGTAAAATAAACAAATTCATATACTTTCCCTTATTAAAGTCTAAGCTATGCCCAGAGGAATTTTAAAAAGAACAAAAAAATAGTGATTAATTTTTATGTATAGTGCATCAAAACTAGATGGATTACTGAGTAGCACATGAAGCATAAATCTTGCTACCAAACTAGACAATGATTCAGCAAGGATAGCCTGATTGTACATAGCCTGGTAACATGGGAATCAACTCTGAGTGAAACTTCATCAGTTTATATCAGTATCTAAAGGTACTTCAGTATCTAGGCTTGAAGATATGAATACCATATACAGTGGACCCCCGGTTAACGATTTTAATCCGTGCAAGAGGGCTCATTGTTATGCGAAATAATCGTTATGCGAATGAATTTTCCCCATAAGAAATAATGGAAATCAAATTAATCCGTGCAAGACGCCCAAAAGTATGAAAAAAAATTTTTTTTTACCACATGAAATGTTAATTTTAATACACACAAACTGAAAAAGGCATGCACAATTAAATGACACTTACTTTTATTGAAGATCTGGTGATGATTGATGGGATGGGAGGAGGGGAGAGCATTTCTTCTTACTGTTTAGAAGGGGAATCCCCTTCCATTACGACTTGAGGTAGCAAGTCCTTTTCCGGGGTTACTTCCCTTCTTCTTTTAATGCCACTAGGACCAGCTTGAGAGTCACTGGACCTCTGTCGCACAACAAATCTGTCCATAGAGCTCTGTACCTCCCGTTCCTTTACGATTTGTCTAAAATGGGCCACAACATTGTCATTGAAATAGTCACTAGCACGGCTTGCAACAGCTGTGTCAGGGTGATTTTCATCTATAAAGGTTTGCAGTTCAACCCACTGTGCACACATTTCCTTAATCTTTGAAGTAGGCACAATGGATTCCACAACTGGCATAGGCTTCTCAGGGTTAGCCCCAAACCCTTCAAAATCTTTCTTAATTTCCATACTAATTCTCACCCTTTTTACCACAGGGTTGGCACTAGAAGCTTTCTTGGGGCCCATGGTCACTTATTTTCCAGAAACAGCACCGAAAACACTGTAATAATACGAAATATTCCGAGTGTATGCTTGGATGTTACCGCGGAGGCTGGCTGGTAAACAATGGGACGGCCGGCACATGTGAGGCTGGCTGAGGGCACATTGGACGCGTCTCGGACGAAAATCGGTAAGCGGGTTTTTAATCGGTATGCGCGGCAAAAATTTTGCGATAAAAGTAATCGGTATGCGGAAAAATTGCTATGTGATGCCATCGTTATGCGGGGGTCCACTGTATTACTAGCCATGAACTGATCTGGCCCACAAGACAGGAAAGGGGAAAAGTGAGGGGGAGCAGATATACTTTCATTCATATAATAAAATTTTTGCATAACCCTAGGTATAAGATGGGGTATATTTTCAACACTCACAATGGGCCTACATCAGGTTTTTCCTGTATCAGCAGTCAACACACACTGTTTTCATATCCTATACTACTATACAAACTGTTTATGATCAAGAGAATCACAAATTTAAACAGATAGAACTAAATTAGCTGTTTCATGAAGAGCAGTCAACATATGCAATGTTTTTATAACTGCATCATCAGCACTAAAATATAAGATTACTGGAGATAATGTTTACATACAAATTGTTTATCACCTCAGGAGTCACAAATTCTAGCTGTATATGTAAGTGGGACTCCACCAATGGCATTATCATATTTTTGTGGTAGTAACTTAAATTTTAAATTTACATTAGTAATAGATCCCTTCAATTATAACACTGGTCAACAAACACTTAAAAAAATGTTTCTAACTAATTTTGGGATGGTAAATTTAAATTCGAGTTAAGTTTTGATCCAAAACGTACAGTTTCTGTAAAACAGAACTCTATCCTCACCCTAATTATTTTTCAAATATATTACTGAGTGCTTAGTTATTTTATACCTTTGAAGAGTTTCGAGTTTCTCTACTCTCAGAGCCCGGCCTTGGACCAGGCTCGTCTGGTGCTCGCCTGGTCAACCAGGCTGTTGCTGCTGGAGGCCCACTGCCCCACATATCCATCGCAGCCTGGTTGATCTAGCAACTGGTGAAGATACTTGTCTAGTTTCCTCCGTGTTTCTGATATCTTCTGGTAGGATGTTGAATGGTCTAGGACCCCAAATGTTGATACAGTGTTCCCTTATTGTCCCCACCACACCCCTGCTCCTCACTGGGTGTATTTTGCATTTCCGCCTATACCATCTCTCACTCCAGTATGTTGTTATGGCAGGTATATATTATCATGTACAGTGGACCCCCATATTATGTAATTAATCCATTCCAGAGAGAGTGACTAAACCCGAATCTGACTAATTCCGAATTAATTTTCCCCATAAGAAATAATGGAAATCCAAATAATCTGTTCCTGACACCCAAAAGTATTAAAAAAAAATTTTTTTTTTTACATGAAATATACATTTCCCTACACAGAAAACAATGAGACATGCAGAATAAAACATTACTAAAATGACACTTACCTTTACTGAAGACTTATTGAGGAGTGATGAGATGAGAGGAGGGGAGAGAATGAAGGTGTACCCCTGTTTGGAAGGGAAATCCCCCTCCATAAGAACTTCAGGTACCAAATCCTTCTCCGAGGTTACTTCCCTTCTTTGTTTTTTAATGCCACTAGGACCAGCTTGATAGTCTCTGGAGCCCTGTTGCTTAAAAAAGTGTTCCAGAGAGGTCTGTTTCTGACATTTCTTTAAAACTTCCCTAAAATGGGACACAACATTGTCATTGTACATGTTGCCAACACAGCCTGCAACAGCTTTGTCAGGGTGACGTTCATCCATAAATGTTTGCACCTTTGTCCACATTGAACAAATGTCCTCAATCTTTGAAGAAGGCACCTTCCTCCATCTTTCTCCTGCTCTGAAGCAATTTCCTGAGCTGTGGTTTGTTACTGTTGCAGATGAAGGTCTTGCAGCTCTGTAGTGGTTAGCTCTTCATCGTGGTCCTCCAACTCTTCCACATCCTCCAAACTCACATCCAACCCCATGGAATTCCCCAATGCCACAATAGATTCCACAACTGACATAGGCTCCTCAGGGTCAGTCCCAAACCCTTCAAAATCACTCTCTTGTACACATTCTAGCTACAATTTTCTCCAAGCAGAGTTCAAAGTCCTGCAAGTCACTCTCTCCCAAGTCTTACCTATAAGGTTTATGCAAGTGAGGATACTGAAGTGATCTTTCCAGAACTCTCTTAGGGTCAATTCAAGTGTCTGAGGTCACTTCAAAGTACTTTTGAAACACTGCTTAAGTGTAGAGTTTTTTGAAATTTGAAATGACCTGCAGGTCCATGGGCTGGAGGAGAGGAGTGGTATTAGGGGGTAAGAACTTTACTTTGATGAAACGAAACTCCTGTACCATTTGCTCTTCCAAGTCTGGAGGATGTCCATTACCAGGAGGTACTCAAGTTCCAATTTATTTTCCAGGTGGTAATTTTTCACACTGGCACCAAACACGTCATGGAACCAATCAAGGAAAATGTCCCGTGTGACCCATGCCTTACTGTTTGCCTTCCACATCACACACAATTTACTCTTGACAACACTGTTTTTCTTGAACACTCTGAGATTTTCAGAGTGATACACCACTTAAATCTTCACTTTGAAATCCCCACTAGCATTACTACAAAACATGAGAGTTAGCCTGTCTTTCATAGGCTTGTGTCCTGGGAGTGCCTTTTCCTCCTGAGTAATGTAGGTCCTCTTTGGCATTTTCTTCCAAAAGAGGCCTGTTTTGTCACAACTGAACACTTGTAGGGGTTTGAATTTTTCAGCCTCTATGTACCCCTTGAAGTCCTGAACATATTTTTCAGCCGCTTTTTTTTGTCAGAACTGGCAGCCTCACCATGCCTTATCACACTGTGTATGCCACTTTGATTCTTAAATCTCTCAAACCAGCCTTTGCTGGCCTTAAATTCACCAATATCAGCAGTAGATCCAGGCATTTTCTCTATGAGATGATCAAGCAACTGCCTTGCCTTTTTACATATTAATGACTGCATAACACTATCTCCTGATAATTGTTTCTCGTTGATCAACACCAACAAGTCTCCACATCTTCCAGTATTTGTGATCTCTATTTTGTAAGCACATTTGCACCTTTCGCAACAGCAGCTTCCTTGATTTCCTTTTTCTTGGCCAGGATAGAAGCGATGGTTGTACGGGGTTTGTCATACAACCTGGCCAGCTCGGCGACACACACTCCACTTTCATATTTTGCAACGATCTCTTTCTTGAATTCTATAGTGTTTTTCACCCTCTTTACCAAAGGGCTGCCACTAGAAGCTTTCTTTGGGTCCATGGTGGCTTATTTAGCAGTTACAAGCACTAAAAAGAATGGAATAATACAAAATGTATCGTATGAACGTATGGGATCGTCCTCACTGGCTGGTAAACAATGACACACTGGCTGTACACGGAGTGTTCGGGCCATTCAGGCCACACGGACACATTCCAGACAAATGACTTATTCCAAGTTCAGTGACAATCACCGATGCAATATTTTGACAAAAAAAAAAAAAACATTACTTATTCTGATGACAACTTAATCCAGGGGTTCACTGTATCTCTCTCTCTTCCACTCCAGTGAGTACATGTTCAAGACTTGAAGGTGTTCCTAGTAGTTTAGGTGCTTTACCAGCCGTCAGTACTGAGCAATATTCTAAATGAGAGAGCACTAGTGATTCGAAGAGTGTCACCATTGGCCTTATTTCCCTTGTTTTGAAAGTTCTCAATACCCACCCCATCATCCTCTTGGCTGTCATGATCTTTGTGTTGTTATGATCTTTAAAAGAAAGGTTAGCTGACATAATTATTTCCAAGCCTTTTACGTGTTCCTTTCGTTCTATTTGGTAACTCTCTTGAGTTTTGCATACAGCATTCCTTTTGAGTTTTTTATTCTTTCCACAACTCAGCAGCTGGAACTTATCACCATTGAACATCGTGTTGTTCTCCACTGCCCACTGAAAAACCCTGCTTATGTCTTCCTGTAATTTTTCAGTGTCCTCTACTGTAGTGACTTTCAAGTTTATTTTAGTGTCATCTGCAAATGATGATACAAAAGTGTGATGGGTGTTTTTATCTACGTCTGCTATGAGGATGAGAAACAGCAGAGGTGGGAGGACAATACCTTGGGAACTGAGCTTTTTACCATGCTGATGCTAGATATTGCTCTGTTTACTACTACTTTTTGTGTTCTGTGTGTTAGGAACCCGAAAATCCATCTGCCTATCTTCCTTGTAATGCCCATGGCCCTCATTTTGTGTGATATCACTCCATAATCACATTTGTCAAATGCCTTTGCAAAATCTGTGTAAATCACATCTTTGTTTTGGTTGTCTTCCAATGCCTGAATTTCAATTTTATTTATTTCTTTGCTAGTGTAGTACATTGAGATTTTGTATTTACAATAATGGGTTGCAGTGCAAAGAGAGCCTCTATTATGCCTAGGCATTATGGGCCAACTTAATTTAATGGCTTACTGACTACTTAACACTAAAGAAATTTATCATAGTTGTGCAGTAGTTCTATCAATTATAATTGAATCTAATTTATACAAACAAGGATATATATATATATATATTCATATATTCAAAAATGCTTTTTATGAAACATGATTCAAGAGTAGTTTCCAGTAGCTTACAGTATGAGAATGCTACAATTTGGTGAAGGGCAGTACTGCTTTTGGTAGGTATGTATACTTCTATGAGGTAATTTATTAATATATGAACTTGGTCATCTAGTCTTGTAGTTTTAAGATTTAGGTAATTGGCCTCCATAATTCTGTCATAATGGTTCAGCAGCTGTGACAGGCATGATCGTCCTGCTCTAAAACCATGCTGGTTTGGGTTGTGCTGGTCCATGAAATTTATAATCTCTCGTCTCATCACTCTTTCGAAGATTTTTATAATGTGAAGTTTGGGCTACTGGTCTGTAATTTTTAGCTAGTGATCTACTACCTCCCTTATGCAAAGGCGCTATGTCTACACTCTTTAATGCCTCTGGTATTTCACCCAGATCTAAGCTTTCTCTCCAAAGAATACTGAGGGCTCATGCTAGTGGTACTTTGCACTTCTTTATAAATAGGGCATTCCATGAATGTGGTCCAGGTGCTGAGTGAGTGGATATGTTATCCATTTCTTTTTTGACATCTATGGGATTTGTACAAATGTCAGTTAGTTGGCCTTCTGCTGGAGTGAAAAATGTTTCTGCATTTTCTACCTTGCTGTCATTTAGTGGGTTGCTGAACACCAACTCACACTGTTGTTTTAGGATTTCACTCATTTCTTGTTCATCGTCAGTATATGAATCTCCTCTCAATAATGGTCCAATTCTGCAGGTAATTCTTAGCTTGGATTTTGCATAGGAATAGAAATATTTTGGATTTCTTGCAATATCCTGGAAGATGAATTATCATTTTATTCGATTTTTGTGGATTTATGAGATTGTTTTATCACCAATGGATTGTATGCGCTCTCTTTCTCAAAGTGGTATTTTCAAGCATCAAGTCATAAGTCTACAATGGCTAGTAGTTCCATAAACAATAGTAATGAGTAATGATTTTTGTTATAAATGTGGCAGCTTTATTCCAACAAAGCAAAGATGAAACATCACGCCACTTGTGAAAACAGTCTGTTTTCACTACTTTTGGGGTCAAGGTCAGAGATCAAGACAAGCTGTAGGCACCTCATTGGTGTTGTGTGACTTTCTACAATTTCTTACTCGAGAGATTTGCTAGAAAGAAGTCATGCAAGCATTTGCAGTCCCGATGAATTGTGATTTCTGTATCACAAGTGTGTCAGAATTTATCAAAAAGCAAATCCACAATAACATATCTGGATCTTCCTTCTGTAATCAGAAAAGTGAAACACTAAGAGAATCTCCTTGTTGAAGTACTGTAATGTCATGCTATAAACTTATATTTCCCTTGGAAGACGAAGAAGCCACTAACTCAAATTCTGAGTCTGAACCAGCTGAAGCCAAGACCCAGGAACCACATCTAGTGACTCAAAGTGACCTTAACAATCTTGCGCATGATCTTAATTTATCCAAGGAAAAGTCAGAACTACTTGGTTTAAGATTGTGCCTGTGAAATTTATTGTACCCAAACACAAGAATCTGTTGAGAAAATGATAGAAAAGCCTAGAAACTTACTTTAAATTAGAAGAATCAATATGTTATTGCTGTGATGTTAATGGTTGGGTTAGGTAAAGTTTGCAGGTCTAATGGATTTTTTAATGCTTGGAGTAAACACTGCAATCCTACAGTGTGACTTCTTTGCATATTGATTCGACAAATTGTAGGATGCACTCAATGTTGCAGTCAAATCTAACCTTACTCCTGAGGCTGGTATACAATATGCTGCAGGTGATAGCAAAATAGCTGTCCTTGGTGCCATCCAAAAAAATGGTACCACTTTCAGCTGTGCCCATGTTCACAGCCAATCAACTTGCTGCTGACATGGAGCTTTTGATGGTTCTCTTTAGAGTGCAACAGTTTTCTGGCTCAAGTTTGTTCTTTCCTGCTAAAGGACCTGCATCCCAAGGGTTTGCTCCTCCTGCACCAGACAACACAAGGAAACAACAATTCATCTCATCCAGAGTCAAGGGCTACTGTATCTAATAACTGCTCAGCCTACAACATGCAAAGTAAAAGCTGTGTCAAGATGTGCTATAGATATGGCAAAAAGGCCCATATCAGTTCTAGCTGCTGCAGCACCCCAAACAAAAAGCACTGCACCAAAGACAGTCTTAAGAGTAAAACATTATTTTACTCTTTCACAATAAATTTAATCTTCATACAATGGATTACTATGCTAGCGCTGAGAACAAGGCTTGCACGTCCTGTTGTGGCTGCCATGGTTGAGGTCAATGATGAGAATGAGGACATGGTTCTCAGTATGGCCAGAACTCTTCTGAAGCTGCAGGCTGAGAATGTCTAGTCATAGCAAACACTGATACACAATACTCCATGTCTGTGCAGAACTCCTTTGATGCTCTGAGCAGCCAAGATGCATCTGAATGCTTCAGTAACAGAGTTAAAAAGTGCAAAGTGAAAGAAGTAAGTACATAGAGGTCAGTATAAGTCCCATCTAGACCAACTGAAGTTGGTTTGTGATGACAGTGATGAGACTTCTGACCAAAAGACAGTACTTGACCACCCTGCTGACACTACTACTGCAAGTCCAGACCATCCTACTGACACTGTATCTTCTTTCTCTTAACCTACTGACTGACACAGTACAAACTGACTGTTGTTACCCCTTGAGGTCATGACGTGTTGGCCAATGCCATCAAACTTGACCCCCCTCAGTCAGATGACCATTCTGTACATGTAAACCTTGCCTTGGCAGAGTTGAGGTTAAATTTCAGTACCCTGTACAGATAAGTAATCATCAAAATAATAAGCTCTCCATCATGAGGATCTGTGTGTGTATTCCTTGTGTAATAGTTGTTAGAATGTTTAGTGTTTTAAGTGTTGCCCTGTGTGACACCTTACAATGTACAATGGCTATTACTGATTATTCATGTCTTCTACAAGTCCTGGACCTTAAGTTGGTAGCTTGTTGTGCACCAAGTTACTATCTATCCCTTCTTTTGTAGATAACTAACTTTTGAAGATAACTTATTGTATAGAATCGAAGTTACTTGATATTAATCTTTTTAGTCTGCTAGTCCATATGTATTATAAATGCTATTAGGCTATCTACCCACATGATGGGGATGCCATGCACACAGCATGAACTGAGCTGTCAGCAACAGCTATAGTGTTATCAGACACTGCAAGTCACTTCCACTTCTCTCATATATTCTGTATGTGAACACTGGCTCCTGCCAGCCTGTGACATCACATTAGCTGTAGGTGAAGTTTGAATGTGAACTTGGTTATAGCTAGATCCTGCTAGCAGGACTCATCATTCCACCTTCAATACATGCCTGCAGAGTTTGTAATAAGTGTTCCATAGCCCAGAATTCTGTACACTGACCAAGAGTGCAAGTAGTGCCCTTCCCACCTCCAGGGCTCAAGTCTCACTAACCAGTTTTCCTTAATCCCTTCATAAGAGTTACCTTGCTCACAATCCAACAGCATGTCCATTAAAATCCACTTGTCTCCTTTCACTCCTATTTGATATGCTCACACAAGCCTGCTGGATGCTCAAATTATTAACATGAATTAAATACAGTAGTTTACACTTACAAAAGCATATTAGTTGTCAATCTCACAGCCGTGAGACTGACTTGGAGCAGCTCTGGGGTGTTGCAACCTTTCACCTCAACAATAGCATATCCAATAATATGCTTACTCCCTGGAGGAAGTGAATACATTTGTATTCACTTCCTTCATACTCCCTCCCTCCAATCTGATATCCAAATTTTCATACACTAACCACTCCAAAACTAAATAATAATAGGTAATACAGTAATATAAATAATAATAAATAACAATAATAGCAACATTGTTTTTAAGAAATACTTATACGGAATTTTCTTCAAAACATTGAGCCAACTTTAAGAAAATATGAACATTGCTTAAAAGAAACAGGAAAACTGATAAATTATTTTAAAATAACTACAAAAAAGAAAATGAAAGTAAGACAATAAAATAAAAGTCCAAGACTTATTCATTAAATCTCAAGTATTGTACAGTAATAAACTACAAAAAACAATATTATGTACCTGGATCTCCTCGCACCCCCTTTAACCCAGGGCGGCTGATGCCTGGCAAACCTTTCGCTCCAGCTGGCCCATCTATGCCAAAGTCCCCTGGTTGACCTTTCTGTCCATGAAGGCCTGGTCGGCCTGACTGCCCTGGGCGACCTTCAATACCATTTTGCCCAGGTTCACCTTTTCTACTTGGTAATCCTGTACAATATGAAATTTAGATATAAAAAAAAAAAGAGGTAAACTTTTGATTTAACAGAATAAGAGTGTAGAGAAAGTAGGTGGCAGTGGTGAGTGTGGTGGAGAGGTGGGTGGTAGTGGTGAGTGTGGTGGAGATGGGTTGTAGTGGTGGAGAGGTGGGTGGTAGTGGTTAGTGTGGTGGAGAGGTGGGTTGTAGTGTGAGAGTGGTGGAGAGAAGATGGGTGGTAGTGGTGAGTGTGGTGGAGAGAAGATGGGTGGTAGTGGTGAGTGTGGTGGAGAGAAGGTGGGTGGTAGTGGTGAGTGTGGTGGAGAGGTGGGTGGCAGCAGTGAGTGTGGTGGTTTGATGACCATGTTTTGCCATAATTGAAACAATAATGGGTAATTCTGTAATCAATAGATCTTGTCACTTGTATATATAGATGCAGCATATTTTTTTTTTTTTTTTAATATTTTTCAAGTTCATTAAATCTAGAGTTTACTATTAAAATTATCATACCAAAGTTCAACAGTTATAGTACCATGTTCATGAGATACTTTTGAGTGAGGCCCCTGGTGTAATTTACAGAGAATTATATACAGGGCAAGGAGGAATAACATCTTGTAGGAGTGAGGAAGAGTCAGTTGTGAGTGTGGGGGAAGTTCGTGAGGCAGTAGGTAAAATGAAAGGGGTAAGGCAGCCGGGATTGATGGGATAAAGATAGAAATGTTAAAAGCAGGTGGGGATATAGTTTTGGAGTGGTTGGTGCAATTATTTAATAAATGTATGGAAGAGGGTAAGGTACCTAGGATTGGCAGAGAGCATGCATAGTTCCTTTGTATAAAGGCAAAGGGGATAAAAGAGAGTGCAAAAATTATAGGGGGATAAGTCTGTTGAGTGTACCTGGTAAAGTGTATGGTAGAGTTATAATTGAAAGAATTAAGAGTAAGACGGAGAATAGGAATAGCAGATGAACAAGGAGGCTTTAGGAAAGGTAGGGGGTGTGTGGACCAGGTGTTTACAGTGAAACATATAAGTGAACAGTATTTAGATAAGGCTAAAGGGGTTTCTTTGTGGCATTTATGGATTTGGAAAAGGCGTATGACAGGGTGGATAGGGGGGCAATGTGGCAGATGTTGCAAGTGTATGGTGTAGGAGGTAGGTTACTGAAAGCAGTGAAGAGTTTTTTACGAGGATAGTGAGGCTCAAGTTAGAGTATGTGGGAAAGAGGGAATTTTTTTCCCAGTAAAAGTAGGCCTTAGACAAGGATGTGTGATGTCATCGTGGTTGTTTAATATATTTATAGATGGGTTGTAAGAGAAGTAAATGCGAGGGTCTTGGCAAGAGGCGTGGAGTTAAAAGATAAAGAATCACACACAAAGTGGAGTTGTCACAGCTGCTCTTTGCTGATGACACTGTGCTCTTGGGAGATTCTGAAGAGAAGTTGCAGAGATTGGGGGATGAATTGGTAGGGTGTGCAAAAGAAGAAAATTAAAGTGAATACAGGAAAGAGTAAGGTTATGAGGATAACAAAAAAATTAGGTGATGAAAGATTGAATATCAATTGGGGGGAGAGAGTATGGAGGAGGTGAACGTATTCAGATATTTGGGAGTGGACGTGTCAGCGGATGGTCTATGAAAGATGAGGTGAATCATAGAATTGATGAGGGAAAAAGAGTGAGTGGTGCACTTAGGGGTCTGTGGAGACAAAGAACTTTGTCCTTGGAGGGAAAGAGGGGAATGTAAAGAGAGTATAGTTTTACCAACGCTCTTAATATGGGTGTGAAGCGTGGGTGATGAATTTGCAGCGAGGAGAAGGCTGGAGGCAGTGGAGATGTCATGTCTGAGGGCAATGTGTGGTGTGAATATAATGCAGAGAATTCGTAGTTTGGAAGTTAGGAGGAGGTGCGGGATTACCAAAACTGTTGTCCAGAGGGGTGAGGAAGGGTTTGTTGAGGTGGTTCGGACATGTAGAGAGAATGGAGCGAAACAGAATGACTTCAAGAGTGTATCAGTCTGTAGTGGAAGGAAGGCGGGGTAGGGGGCGGCCTAGGAAGGGTTGGAGGGAGGGGGTAAAGGAGGTTTTGTGTGCGAGGGGCTTGGACTTCCAGCAGGCATGCGTGAGCGTGTTTGATAGGGGTGAATGGAGACAAATGGTTTTTAATACTTGACGTGCTGTTGGAGTGTGAGCAAAGTAACATTTATGAAGGGATTCAGGAAACCGGCAGCCGGACTTGAGTCCTGGAGATGGGAAGTACAGTGCCTGCACTCTGAAGGAGGGTGTTAATGTTGCAGTTTAAAAACTGTAGTGTAAAGCACCCTTCTGGCAAGACAGTGATGGAGTGAATGATGGTGAAGTTTTTTTTTTCGGGCCACCCTGCCTTGGTGGGGGAACGGCCCGGTTTATAATAAAAAAAATAAATAATAATAAAATTTTACAGGGGAATAAATTATAGTTATGTGACATTTCTTGAAAGGGGAAAGTACAATTTTTAAAAAAAAGGATTTTGGGGAAAACTTAGGGTTTTTGCTTTGTGAATTGTGGTCTCGCGTTTTACCCAGGGGCTTTTTTCCCCATTTTGACCCTATTTTTGGGCCAAATTCCAAGTACCAGTAAAAAAAATCATAACTATTTCATAAAACCCCCAATTTTTTCTATCAAATGAGTACAAGAACCCCATTTACCGATTTAAAACTACCAATAAAGGGTCCAAAATTGGCAATTTTCCCAATTTCACACAAATTTCAAAAGATGCCAATTTTCAAAAAGGGTCCAAAAAAACAGACAGCTTTCCCTGGCACAAAAATAACATTTCCTCTGTTTTGTCACCCCCCGGGCCCTCTGTTACATTTCTTTTGCTTTCCACTTTAAATTTTTTTTTCTCGCAAAAAATAAAAGATTTACTGTTAGCGACACGCTTTAAATGACCCAATAGTGTAGAAAAGGTAAAAAATACAGCGCACTTGTGAAAGAATATTAGACTCACCAGTTGATGTGTATTGGACACATGGCATGATTTATTTACTTTTGAACTTTGGCAAAAATCGAACATTTCTGCTACTTTGAGCTGAATTTCAAGGTACTTTTCATTGTGAAACCAATAAAAATCATCTCAATGTCCATAATATGTCTTCCATTCTATAAAATGAGACCAGGAAAACTAGAATACAACCATAAATAAAATACGAAAATACACTGCAAAGTCGCTGTTTTAAACCAAAAACATGGTCGGAGTTTTTTTCTCATTATGCACTGTGAGCTGCATAATTTTTTTATACTGCGCACACTGACCACATAGACCCATTCTTTCATATGTGGGCCCACCAGCTTTCTCTCGCTACATTTGAAGGCGCTAGAATTTGTGTGTACTAGTACGGCACCAACCCTGGCGTGCAAGCTGTACTAGTACGGCACAAACCCTGAAAGGGTTAATAAGGAAAGAGTAAATTGATACACAAATGTTTAATGTTTAAATCTGTGAGACCATGCTGCCCTCAGAATTTTCTGCCCAGGTCTTAAGAGTTTCTTTTTCAATGTTCTTATAAATGTAGAATCCCAGTAATCTTATTAGCTCTTAAACTGTTTACCACACTCATACCACTGATGGAAAACTGTTTACCATGTAGATTATCATTCCATGGAAAACTGTTTACCATGTAGATTATCACTGCATGGAAAATTGTTTACCATGTAGATCTATCACTGTATGGAAAACTGTTTATCATATAGATTATCACTGCATGGAAAACTGTTTACCATGTAGATCTATCACTGCATGGAAAACTGCTTACCATGTAGATCTATCACCTCGTGGAAAACTGTTTTCCATGTAAATCTATCACCTCGTGGAAAACTGTTTACCTTGTAGATCTATCACTGCATGGAAAACCGTTTACCAAGTAGATCTATCACTGCATGGAAAACAGTTTACTATGTAGATCTACCACTGCATGGAAAACTGTTTACCATACAGATCTACAGCTACAATGAGAAATGACTGTCATGCAGTTTACAGAATTAGCCTTTTAAAAATAACAAGTGGGGGTGACAAGATCCCCACAAATAATAGTTTAAGGGCTAAGCATTACAACGGATTGCTGTATTTACAGTTTATCCTCCAAAAGTGCATGTTAAGCCATGGCATTACATGGCCCACTCCATGGATCAATACTGACAAGACAGTTGCATAATAATTCATCTGTTTACCATCATCTGTGAAACAAGTTACTCTCAGCACTTATTTTTAAGTTACAGCTGGTATTTGATTATTATTTTATTCCCCTTCATTGTCAATATATTTCATAATTACTTTGTAGTCTGAAGTTCTTGTGTTTGGTAACTATAGAGCTTGCTTCTTCACTGAATTTGCTGCTGCCTTTGTTGTTTCTTAATTACGTATTTACATGTGACAGTTTTCCTATTTTGATTACCAACATAGTTTCTATATTTTGTGTTAGTACTGTACAGTAAATGTTAGTCATTTTTATTATGCTGTATACACTGCTATAATGTAGTATGTATTACTCATTTTTGTTATATTGTATATATATATTTCTGTTATTCTTGATTTTATCTAGGGGAGGCTCTACAATATAATTTATATAGTCAGGAGTAGTCCTTTATCACGTTGGTCCACCTCATTTTGATTTGCTTTTTTTATTTCATCACTGCCATTAACATTAAGAACTGCATTTTTGCTAACTACATGTATTCCTCTATTCTTTTTTGCTGGGGAAGGGGAGGGATAAAGACAAAAGATGTGGGATTTAGTAATAGATTTTCACTAAAGATGACAAGGATGTATGTCGGCATTACTAGCAAGTGCCAAGTGAACTTCAGCTGATACAGTACAGGTACACCACTGATTTCCTGGAAAATGACAGTCCACCACCTCTTTTAGTTTGGGAAAAATTACAAGCACGCTTGAAATTGCCATGACTGCCACATATGGGCCACATACGCCATTATGTGAAGAATTCATTCTTTATATTGTTAACACTACAGTTGCTGGTGATGATCCCTTGATTCTGTGTGATTCTTAGCTTATTTTGCTTACATTTAACACTAGTTATAGAGTGGTGTAGATGAAAAACTTACTATTGACAAGTTAACTGAGTTGGCTTGTTATATCACCAAAGGGATAGAACAACATACCTTCATGACAGAACAAGAGGTAATAAATCTTTATTTGATGCATGAAAAATACACAGATCAAAGCACATGAAACAACTTGGACAAGATGTTTAAAAAGATTAGCTCTGCAGTTCCAGAAAAATTCTAAAATTTACCACTCGAGAGAAGTATCCTCCAACATTCTTTGAAGTCACAGCAATTAATAAACCATGATGCTATAGACACACAAGAGGTGTATAATTGCTAGGTCACCAGTGTATTATGTAATTATCATTACATGACATCTATTGGTCCAGCAAATTGGATAACCCGACAAGACTTTAGAATATAACACTTGTTAAGTGTTTCAAGAGTTAATTTTAGGTCTGTATGTCACATTATGTAAAAGAAAAAACAGAAGCTAAATTGATTAAGAGGAATTCTGATATTCTGTCCTGTTATGAGTTTCAGAATAATAATCAAAATCTATTCTTAACTAAACATTCATTTCAAGTGACTGTTGTACATAAAAAGTACTGAGCAGGTGTAGGATTATTAGCACATTTAATTTTTTTACAAAGTGATACAAAAAAAAAAAAAAATACTAACCTTCTAGACCCCGAAGCCCTCTTACACCATCATCACCACGATAGCCTGGAAGTCCAGGTCGACCGCGAAAACCTTCCTGGCCAGTGTCACCGATTGAACCCTTAAAAAAATTAAAATATTGCATACTACCATATTATTGTATTGAACAAAATACTGTGAATGCTTGCCTGTGTGCCTATGTTTCTTTGCAAATTATGCATGTCAACTTGTTTCTCTATATTCAGCTTTTTCCATTTCATGGGAAAGTCTTGAGGTTTGGTTTTCTCTGGGTCTGCACAAGCTACACTGTCAAGATAATTGCATTATACTCACACAACCATAGATGTATTAAAAAAGAGGTGACAGACTGAAAAAAAAAACATTACAGCCTCTCCTCACTTAATGACGGAGCTCCATTCCTAGGACCACGTAGGTAAACAAACTATTCGCTAAGTGAGGAGCATACTATAATGGTAGTGGGATTGTGTCAACCATCTTTGATATTGTTTTAATGCCACCTTTGCACCATTTATAACATGTCTGGTATATTTATAAATGTTTATACAGCAGTGTACTGTATACTGCAAGAAACAGAATAGAGGAAATCAGCTCTAACATACATTATTTAGGTATGTATACTGGTCAGAGAACCTGTATTAAGTACAAGTCATCGGTAAACGAATAAGTCGCTAAGCGAGGAGAGGTTATATACAATGGACCCTCGTTTTTTGTAAGCATCGGAAGTCGTAATTTTCAAAAATCGTAACTTTTTTACGTCAAAATATCAACTCGCGAATCATTGTTTGACTTGCAAATAGTCGTTCATCCCAGAGACGTATGCATGGTTCCAAGTGGCCCGACACTCCATTCACAGCCAGTGTGCCACTGTTTATCAGCGAGTGAGGATGAACCCACAAGTTCATATGATACAATTTGTAATACAGTGGACCCCCGCATACCGTTGGCATCACATAACGTTAAATCCGCATACCGATACATTTTATCGCTAAGATTTTGCCTCGCATACCGCTAAAAAACCCGCTCAACGCTATTCGTCCGAGACGCGTCTAATGTGCGGCCTGAGCCAGCCTCACATGTTCTGCCGGTGACATTGTTTACCAGCCAGCCTCCGCGGTAACATCCAAGCATACAATCGGAACATTTCGTATTATTACAGTGTTTTTGGTGATTTTATCTGCAAAATAAGTGACCATGGGCCCCAAGAAAGCTTCTAGTCCCAAACCCTACAAAATAAGGGTGAAATCATAGAGATGAAGAAGAGATCATTGCTAATATGAAAGTGGAGTGCGTGTCTCCGAGCTGGCCAGGTTGTATAGTAAACCCCAATCAACTATCGCTACTATTGTGTCCAACAAACGGCAATAAAAGGAAGCTGTTCTTGCCAAAGGTTCAACTGTGTTTTCGAAACAGAGATCGCAAGTGATGGAAGATGTTGAAGACTCTTATTGGTGTGGATAAATGAAAAACAGATAGCAGGAGATAGCATCTCTCAAGTGATCATAAGTGAAAAGGCTAGGAAGTTGCATGAGGATTTAATTAAAAAAATGCCTGCAACTAGTGATGATGTGAGTGAATTTAAGGCCAGCAAAGGTTGGTTTGAGAGATTTAAGAAGCATAGTGGCATACATAGTGTGATAAGGCATGGTGAGGCTGCCAGTTCGGACCACAAAGCAGCTGAAAAATATGTGCAGGAATTCAAGGAGTACATAGACAGTGAAGGACTGAAACCTGAACAAGTGTTTAATTGTGATGAAACAGGCCTGTTTTGGAAGAAAATGCCAAGGAGGAAAAGGTACTCCCAGGACATAAGCCTATGAAAGACAGGCTTACTCTGTTGATGTGTTCCAATGCTAGTGGTGATTGCAAAGTGAAGCCTTTATTAGTGTATCACTCAGAAACTCCCAGAGCGTTCAGGCAAAAGAATATCCTCAAGGCTAATTTGTGTGTGCTGTGGAGGGCAAACAGTAAGGCATGGGTCACTAGGGACTTTTTCTATGACTGGTTACACCAAGCATTTGCCCCCAATGTGAAAGATTACCTAACTGAAAAGAAATTAGACCTTAAGTGCCTCCTGGTGTTAGACAATGCCCCTGGTCATCCTACAGACGTGGCAGAGCGACTTTATGGGGACATGAGCTTCATTAAGGGTAAAGTTTTTGCCTCCTAATCCCACTCCTCTCCTGCAGCCCAGGACCAGCAGGTTATTGCAAACTTCAAAAACTGTACACAAAAGCTCTGTTTTGAAAGGTGTTTTGCAGTGACCTCAGAAACTCAATTGACTCTAAGAGAGTTTTGGAGAGATCACTTTAATATCCTCAATTGTGTAAACCTTATAGGTAAGGCTTGGGAGGGAGTGACTAAGAGGCCCCTTGAACTCTGCTTGGAAGAAACTGTGGCCAGAATGTGTAGACCAAAGGGATTTTGAAGGGTTTGAGGCTAACCCGGGGAATCCTATCCCGTTGGGGAATCCATTGTAGCATTGGGAAAGTCCTTGGGGTTGGAGGTTAGTGGGGATGATGTGGAAGAGTTGGTGGAGGAGGACAATGAAGAACAAAACCACTGATGAGCTGCTAAAATCAACTTCAACAGCAAGAGGGCCAGACCTGAGGAAAAATGCTTCGGAGGAGGGGAGAGAGAAATTGAAGAAGTTGCCTACTTCAAAGAAATTTAAAGGGAAAAGTGTGGAATGTTTGCTTAAAGTGCAAACCTTTTTTGATGACAATCACCCTAACACAGCTATTGCAAGCTGTGCTGATGACTATTACACTGACACTGTTGTGAAACACTTTAGGAAAGTCATAAAGGAACGAGAGGTACAGGCCACTATGGACAGTTTTGTTGTGCGACAGAAGTCCAGTGATTCTCAAAGCGGTCTAGTGGCATTAAAAGAAGAAGGGAAGTAACCCCAGAAAAGGACTTGACACCTCAAGTCTTAATGGAAGGAGATTCCCCTTCTAAACACTAAGACTCTCTCCTCCTCCCATCCCATCAATCATCACCAGATCTTCAATAAAGGTAAGTGTCATGTGACTGTGCATGTCTTTTTCAGTTTGTGTGTATTAAAATTAATATTTCACGTGATAAAAATTTTTTTTTTCATACTTTGGGGGTGTCTTGCACGGATTAATTTGATTTCCATTATTTCTTATGGGGAAAATTCATTCGCATAACGATAATTTCGCATAACAATGAGCTCTCAGGAACAGATTAATATCGTTATGCGGGGGTCCACTGTATTCCATTCGTTGTAGTGCTTGCAACTGCTAAATAAGCCACCATAGCCCCAATGAGAGCTCCTAGTGCCAGGCCTTTGGCACTAGGAGGAGGAAGAAAGAAGGAAGAATGTACCTTCTTCAGTGATTCTATGATATGTACGATATTAAAGCAGCACAAGTCGATAAAAGCTATAGCGCCTGCCAGCAATAAAGTGTAACATTAACAGTTATGAGGATAACAGGTTATGAGGATAACAAAAAGATTAGGTGATGAAAGATTGAATATCAGATTGGAGGGAGAGAGTATGGAGGAGGTGAACGTATTCAGATATTTGGGAGTGGACGTGTCAGCGGATGGGTCTATGAAAGATGAGGTGAATCATAGAATTGATGAGGGAAAAAGAGTGAGTGGTGCACTTAGGAGTCTGTGGAGACAAAGAACTTTGTCCTTGGAGGCAAAGAGGGGAATGTATGAGAGTATAGTTTTACCAACGCTCTTATATGGGTGTGAAGCGTGGGTGATGACTGTTGCAGCGAGGAGAAGGCTGGAGGCAGTGGAGATGTCATGTCTGAGGGCAATGTGTGGTGTGAATATAATGCAGAGAATTCGTAGTTTGGAAGTTAGGAGGAGGTGCGGGATTACCAAAACTGTTGTCCAGAGGGCTGAGGAAGGGTTGTTGAGGTGGTTCGGACATGTAGAGAGAATGGAGCGAAACAGAATGACTTCAAGAGTGTATCAGTCTGTAGTGGAAGGAAGGCGGGGTAGGGGTCGGCCCAGGAAGGGTTGGAGGGAGGGGGTAAAGGAGGTTTTGTGTGCGAGGGGCTTGGACTTCCAGCAGGCATGCGTGAGCGTGTTTGATAGGAGTGAATGGAGACAAATGGTTTTTAATACTTGACGTGCTGTTGGAGTGTGAGTAAAGTAACATTTATGAAGGGATTCAGGGAAACCGGCAGGCCGGACTTGAGTCCTGGAGATGGGAAGTACAGTGACTGCACTCTGAAGGAGGGGTGTTAATGTTGCAGTTTAAAAACTGTAGTGTAAAGCACCCTTCTGGCAAGACAGTGATGGAGTGAATGATGGTGAAAGTTTTTCTTTTTCGGGCCACCCTGCCTTGGTGGGAATCGGCCAGTGTGATAATAATAATAAATAATTAACAGTGTAGCAAATAAGTTAAGCGATTAATCGATAGAAAAAGGAGAGCACGAACCTAACTCCTCCAATGTTGTTGGAGTTATATAGGGCTACTGAGAACATCGCCACCTCTGCTGGCTTTCACTACCACTATGTACGGCTTATGCTCTCAGTGGCCCTTATATACCTAACAACAAAACACCACCACTCGTGACATACATAATGACATTTTTTATTCATTCTAGAGTATGTGTCATGTTTCTATATTATTAATATTGTTTATTACGTCATAGATGAATTGTAATAGATAAATAAGCCATAGAGTTGATATTAGTGCCATATTGAAGGACTATCGTGTCCTGCCTCCACACACACTCCCCTGCCGCTGCCACGCTCCTAACATATGTAATGACACATTTTATACATACACCAACAAGAGTCTTCAATAAAGGTAAGTGTGATGTTATTATTGTTTTATTCTTCATGTCTCATTGTTTCCTGTGTATGTAAATCTATATTTCATGTAAAAATTTTTTTTTTTTTTTTCAACAAGTCGGCCGTCTCCCACCGAGGCAGGGTGACCCAAAAAAGAAAGAAAATCCCCAAAAAGAAAATACTTTCATCATCATTCAACACTTTCACCACACTCACACATTATCACTGTTTTTGCAGAGGTGCTCAGAATACAACAGTTTAGAAGCATACACATATAAAGATACACAACATATCCCTCCAAACTGCCAATATCCCAAACCCCTCCTTTAAAGTGCAGGCATTGTACTTCCCATTTCCAGGACTAAATGTCCGACTATATGAAAAATAACCGGTTTCCCTGAATCCCTCACTAAATATTACCCTGCTCACACTCCAACAGATCGTCAGGTCCAAGTTATCATTCGTCCATCACTCCTATCTAAATGCTCACGCACGCTTGCTGGAAGTCCAAGCCCCTCGCCCACAAAACCTCCTTTACCCCCTCTCTCCAACCCTTTCGAGGACGACCCCTCCCCCTCCTTCCTTCCCCTATAGATTTATATGCTTTCCATGTCATTCTACTTTGATCCATTGTCTCTAAATGACCAAACCACCTCAACAACCCCTCTTCTGCCCTCTGACTAATGCTTTTATTAATCCACACCTTCTCCTAATTTCCACACTCCCAATTTTCTGCATAATATTTACACCACACATTGCCTTAGACAGGGGCATCTCCACTGCCTCCAATCGTCTCCTCGCTGCTGCATTTACCACCCAAGCTTCACATCCCTATAAGAGTGTTGGTACCACTATACTTTCATACATTCCCTTCTTTGCCACCATAGATAACGTTTTTTGACTCCACATATACCTCAACGCACCACTCACCTTTTTTCTCTCATCAATTCTATGATTAACCTCATCCTTCATAAATCCATCCGCCGACACGTCAACTCCCAAGTACGTATCTGAAAACATTCACTTCTTCCATACTCCTCTTCCCCAATTTGATATCCAATTTTTCTTTATCTAAATCATTTGATACCCTCATCACCTTACTCTTTTCTATGTTCACTTTCAACTTTCTACCTTTACACACATTCCCAAACTCATCCACTAACTTTTGCAATTTTTCTTTAGAATCTCCCATAAGCACAGTATCATCAGCAAAAAGTAACTGTGTCAATTCCTATTTTGAATTTGATTCCCCATAATTTAATCCCACCCCTCTCCCGAATACCCTAGCATTTACTTCTTTTACAACCCCATCTATAAATATATTAAACAACCATGATGACATTACACATCCCTGTCTAAGACCTACTTTTACCGGGAAGTATTCTCCCTCTCTTCTACACACCCTAACCTGAGCCTCACTATCCTCATAAAAGCTCTTTACAGCATTTAGTAACTTACCACCTATTCCATATACTTGCAACATCTGCCACATTGCTCCTCTATCCACTCTATCATATGCCTTTTCTAAATCCATAAATGCAATAAAAACTTCCCTACCTTTATCTAAATACCTTTTTCTCTTTTATCACACCCTTTACTTCATCATTCCACCAGTCACTCCTCTTTCCTCCTGCCCCCACCCTCCTATAACCACAAGCTTCTGCCCCACATTCTAATACTGCATTTTTAAAACTATTCCAACCCTCTTCAACCCCCCCACTATTCATCTTTACACTAACCCACCTTTCTGCCAATAGTCGCTTATATTTTTTGTTAATACTTTTGGTCTGAAACGAATTAACTGGATTTATATTATTTCTTATGGGAAAAATGGTTTCACAAATCGTCAATTTCGCCATTAGTCACACTCTCTGGAATGGATTAATTACGAAAACAAGGGTCCACTGTATATATAATATATATATATATATATATATATATAAAGGAACTACACAACACTTCTGTACCTTGATTCCTGGAAGACCAGGTAAACCATCTCTTCCAGGATCTCCTGGTAGCCCTGGTCGACCAGGATCTCCATTGTCAGCTCTGCTCCCACCAATAATTATGCCTGGTTGGCCACGGTCACCTGGTGGTCCTCTGATGCCCTGCAACCCATTTCGTCCAAGCCAACCAACAGGACCAATATCACCGGGTAGACCTATGCCAAGATATATTTTTTTATATTACAGACAATGAAACCTCTCATTATAAAAAACGGAATCACTAATCTTAGGTGCTGGTGAAAAGTACCTACCTGCATCTTCCACAAACTCTTCTTTCTCTCACAATATATATCCATAAGGTTTGTATTTCTCTCAAAATGTATTACTTCTTAGCATGCCTATAATCCCTACTCTATATAAGATGGAAATTGGGCAATGATGATGATGGTGATTTCAGACATTTTATAAGTTATATACCGAGCAAGGGAGAACTAGGACCAAAACTTTTTTGATATAAGATGGTAGAGTTTATTTTGTAAAGTACTAAGACTGTAGATATAATGTAGAGTATGAAGTGTCAAGGTGTCTGCTATGAAATATGGTTAAGTTAACAAGACACATGACTAAATGCATGTTCTATGAGGCAGTTTGCAGTAGTAAACAGAACAAATTATTAATGCAATCCATAAAACATTAAAGTATTTAATTAGTTTTAAATAAACACCTAAGTAAATACTTCTTTGTTTCTCTAGGTAAGATTACAAATAAAAACAATTATAGTGGGCCCCCGGATTAACACGTCATTGGATTAAGTAATAATCGGATTAAGTAACGTTTTTGCATCAAAATATTGGCTCGGTTAACAACATAGAATTCGTTACACAAATAACCTGCACATAAAAGAGAGAAGCTTACGACGACGTTTCAGTCCGACTTGGACCATTGACAAAGTCACAGTGTGACTTTGTCAATGGTCCAAGTCGGACCGAAATGTCATCATAAGCTTCTCTCTTTTATGTGCGGGTTATTTGTGTATCGTTCCAGTCATGGTATTGTGCCTTTTTTTGTTATTTAACATAGAATTCGGTTAGAGTCATTCGTCCCGAACATGTCCACGTGCCGTGAGCGGCCCGGCCACTCCATGTACAGCCAGTGTGCCATTGTTTACAATCCAGTGAAGATGATTCCACGCGTACATGTGATACATCTTGTATTATTCCATTGTTTTTAGTGCTTGTAACTGCTAAACAAGCCAACATGGGCCCAAAGAAAGCTTCTAACACCAGCCCTTTGGTAAAGAGGGTGAGAAACACTATAGAATTCAAGAAAGAGATCACAAAATACGAAAGTGGAGTGCATGTCTCCGAGCTGGCCAGGTTGTATAACAAACCCCATACAACCATCGCTACTATCTTGGCCAAGAAAAAGGCAATCAAGGAAGCTGCTGTTGTGAAAGGTGCAAATATGCTTACAAAACAGAGATCGCAAATACTCGAAGATGTGGAGAGATTGTTGTTGGTGTGGATCAACAAGAAACAATTATCAGGAGATAGTGTTTCGCAGTCAATTATACGTAAAAAGGCAAGGCAGTTGCATGATGATCTCATTAAATAAATGCCTGGAACTAGTGCCCATATTGGTGAATTTAAGGCCAGCAAAGGTTGGTTTGAGAGATTTAAGAATCATACTGGCATACACAGTGTGATAAGGCACAATGAGGCTGCCAGTGCTGACAAAAAAGCGGCTGAAAAATATGTTAAAGACTTCAACGGGTACATAGAGGCTGAAAAATTCAAACCCCAACAAGTGTTCAATTGTGACAAAACAGGTCTATTATGGAAGAAAATGCCAAAGAGGACCTACGTTACTCAGGAGAAAAAGGCACTCCCAGGACACAAGCCTATGAAAGACAGGCCAACTCTCATGTTTTGTAGTAATGCAGTGTCATCAAAACTAAATTATGTGATGTGGAGGGAAAACAGTAAGGCATGGGTCACAAGGGAAATTTTCCTTGGCTAGTTCCATGACGTGTTTGGCCCCACTGTGAAAAAAAATACCTCCTGAAAAATAAATTGGAACTCAAGTGCCTCCTGGTAATGGACAATGCTCCTGCTCATCATCCAAATTTGGAAGAGCGAATGGTGCCGGAGTTTAGCTTCATCAAAGTGAAATTCTTGCCCCTTAATACCACTCCTCTCCTCCAGCCCATGGACCTGCAGGTCATTTCAAATTTCAAAAAACTCTACACAAAAGCAGAATTTCAAAAGTGCTTTGAAGTGACCTCAGACACTGAACTGACCCTAAGAGTGTTCTGGAAAGATCACTTCAGTATCCTCACTTGCATAAACCTTATAGGTAAGGCTTGAGAGGGAGTGACTTGCAGGACTTTGAACTCTGCTAGGAGAAAATTGTGGCCAGAATGTGTACAAGAGAGGGATTTTGAAGGGTTTGGGGCAGACCCTGAGGAACCTATGCCAGTTGTCGAATCTATTGTGTCATTGGGGAATTCCATGGGGTTGGATGCGAGTTTGGAGGATGTGGAAGAGTTGATGGAGGAAGACGATGATGAAGAGCTAACCACTACAGAGCTGCAAGAGCTTGAGGTGCAACACCAACAGACCACAGCTCAGGAATTTAGTTCAGAAGAAGAGAAAGAGAGATGGAGGAGGGTGCCTTCTTCAAAGATTAAGGACATTTGTACAAAGTGGACTGAAGTGTAAACATTTATGGATGAACATCACCCTGACATAGCTGTTGCAAGCCGTGCTGGCAACATCTACAATGACAATGTTGTGTCCCATTTTAGGAAAATCTTAAAGACATGCCAGAAACAGAGCTCCCTGGACAGAATTTTTGTGTGACAGAGGTCCAGTGACTCTCAAGCTGGTGCTAGTGGCATTAAGAAACAAAGAAGGGATGTAACCCCGGAAAAGGACTTGGTGCCTGAAGTCCTTATGGAGGGGGATTACCCTTCCAAACACTAGTACACCTCCATCTCTCCCGTCCTCCCATCTCATCACTCATCAATGTCTTCAATAAAGGCAAGTGTTATTTTAGTATTGTTTATTCTGTATGTCTCATTGATTTCTGTGTAGGAAAATGTATATTTCATTTAAAAAAATTATTATGTTTAGTACTTTTGGGTGACTGGAATGGATTAATTGGATTTCCATTATTTCTTATGGGGAAAATTAATTCGGGTTAAGTCAGATTTGGTATAAGACATGTTCTCTGGAATGGATTAATTATGTTAATCAAGGGTCCACTGTAATGGTAAGATAAAATAACATTTCAGACTGAATTGAGCCATATCTGCTTGTCATTAATAGTTCCAAAGACATTGTCCCCACAGCCCAGTCTCAGACCAGGCCCAATATCTTGGAAAGAATAAGAACTATCAAGAAATGCAGAGGAAAACACATCTAAGTGTATACTGAGCATAAGCAAACATTTTATATATTTACCTGTAATCCTACCTGTTTATGAGAAAGAAAGAAAAGGCCAACAATCCTTACAAGGTAAGAGATATTCAACAGGCTTCCATTCAACACTAGTATAACAGAACCATACAAGAAAAGAAAGTGTGTTTTCAGCACTCTGGGCTAGATACAGGGATCATCATGACCCTAGTGTTGCTCCTACAGCCTGGCTAATTATTAAAAATTATGGGAACTTCGGCAACATTAATGCTTAAGTATACTGCAGTTATGAATGATCCATTGGAATTTAGCACTTGGTTTAAATATAATAGTAATGATGACCAAGCACAATAGACATGTCATGAAATCAATATAATGGTAAGATGATCAATAGTAAAATAATTAGTTATAGGTCTGCTCGGAGTGTGACTAAGGAATATATTAAATCTATGTTTGAAGCAAATTTAAAAAAAATAATAGCTCATTTTCACCACTCCAAGTTTTTTTGGTAATCTTGCTTTTAAATCACCTATGCAAGGGTAGATTAGATTAAATTTTGGTTAACCTCAAATTTCTGAATTTATATAAAAAAAGGAAATTAATGTGACACTCTTCTTTATGAATGCCAAGAATCAGTAAACTATTACTCACCCTTATTTCCAAACCTGCCAGGCTCACCAGCCTGGCCCTTAGGTCCAGGCCATCCCTGAGGGCCTGGAGGACCTACTATTCTTCCTCCAGGTGGTCCAGGGAAACCCACATCTCCTGGCTCACCTCGATCTCCACTGATGCCAGGTAAACCCATCATTCCCATGGTACCCTGTTTGTATTAAAAGAGTATACATCATTATTACTGCTGGTGTTATTGTTGTTGGTGTTATTACTGCTATTCCCAAACTATTCTCTCTCTATGCAAACAGAAATAGGTAACAATATGCAGCCAGGATTGATGTGATAAAGATAGAAATGTTAAAAGCAGGTGGGGATATAGTTTTGGAGTGGTTGGTGCAATTATTTAATAAATGTATGGAAGAAGGTAAGGTACCTAGGGATTGGCAGAGAGCATGCATAGTTCCTTTGTATAAAGGCAAAGGGGACAAAAGAGAGTGCAAAAATTATAGGGAGATAGGTCTGTTGAGTATACCTGGTAAAGTGTATGGTAGTTATTATTGAAAGAATTAAGAGTAAGACGGAGAATAGGATAGCAGATGAACAAGGAGGCTTTAGGAAAGGTAGGGGGTGTGTGGACCAGGTGTTTACAGTAAAACATATAAGTGAACAATATTTAGATAAGGCTAAAGAGGTTTTTGTGGCATTTATGGATTTGGAAAAGGCGTATGACAGGGTGGATAGGGGGGCAATGTGGCAGATGTTGCAGGTGTATGGTGTAGGAGGTAGGTTACTGAAAGCAGTGAAGTTTTTATGAGGATAGTGAGGCTCAAGTTAGAGTATGTAGGAAAGAGGGAAATTATTTCCCAGTAAAAGTAGGCCTTAGACAAGGATGTGTGATGTCACCGTGGTTGTTTAATATATTTATAGATGGGGTTGAGAGAAGTAAGTGCGAGGGTCTTGGCAAGAGGCGTGGAGTTAAAAGATAAAGAACCACACATAAAGTGGGAGTTGTCACAGTTGCTCTTTGCTGATGAAACTGTGCTCTTGGGAGATTCTGAAGAGAAGTTGCAGAGATTGGTGGATGAATTTGGTAGGGTGTGCAGTGCCTGCACTCTGAAGGAGGGGTGTTAATGTTGCAGTTTAAAAACTGTAGTGTAAAGCACCCTTCTGGCAAGACAGTGATGGAGTGAATGATGGTGAAAGTTTTTCTTTTTCGGGCCACCCTGCCTTGGTGGGAATCGGCCAGTGTGATAATAATAATAATAATAATAATAATAATAATAATAATAATAAAATGCAAAAGAAGAAAATTAAAGGTGAATACAGGAAAGAGTAAGGTTATGAGGATAACAAAAAGATTAGGTGATGAAAGATTGGATATCAGATTGGAGGGAGAGAGTATGGAGGAGGTGAATGTATTCAGATATTTGGGAGTGGACGTGTCAGCGGATGGGTCTATGAAAGATGAGGTGAATTATAGAATTGATGAGGGGAAAAGGGTGAGTGGTGCACTTAGGAGTCTGTGGAGACAAAGAACTTTGTCCTTGGAGGCAAAGAGGGGAATGCATGAGAGTATAGTTTTACCAACACTCTTATATAGGTGTGAAGCATGGGTGATGAATGTTGCAGCGAGGAGAAGGCTGGAGGCAGTGGAGATGTCATGTCTGAGGGCAATGTGTGGTGTGAATATAATGCAGAGAATTCGTAGTTTGGAAGTTAGGAGGAGGTGCAGGATTACCAAAACTGTTGTCCAGAGGGCTGAGGAAGGGTTGTTGAGGTGGTTCGGACATATAGAGAGAATGGAGCGAAACAGAGTGAATTCAAGAGTGTATCAGTCTGTAGTGGAAGGAAGGCAGGGTAGGGGTCAGCCTAGGAAAGGTTGGAGGGAGGGGGTAAAGGAGGTTTTGTGTGCGAGGGGCTTGGACTTCCAGCAGGCATGCATGAGCGTGTTTGATAGGAGTGAATGGAGACATATGGTTTTTAATACTTGACGTGCTGTTGGAGTGTGAGCAAAGTAACATTTATGAAGGGGTTCAGGGAAACTGGCAGGCCAGACTTGAGTCCTGGAGATGGGAAGTACAGTGCCTGCACTCTGAAGGATGGGTGTAAATGTTGCAGTTTAAAAACTGTAGTGTAAAGCACCCTTCTGGCAAGACAGTGATTGAGTGAATGATGGTGAAAGTTTTTCTTTTTCGGGCCACCCTGCCTTGGTGGGAATCGGCCAGTGTGATAATAAAAAAAAAAAGGTGTGTTGCTGCAGTTGATCCCCAAGCACAAATAGCATAGGTGAGGTATGGATAAATAAGTGAGTGGTATAGTGTGAGAAGGGCATTTTGCGGCACGTAGTATCGTATCTTGCAGAGGATCCCAACCGTTTTGGATACTTTTTTGGTTATGTGTTGGATATGGGTGCTGAAGTTCAGGTTGTTGTCAAGGTATAGGCCTAGGAATTTGCCCTCATTATGTCTGGTAATTAGAGTGTTGTCGATCTTAATGTTAATTTGTGCATCTCCTGCTCTACCAAACATAATATAGTAGGTTTTGTCAGTGTTAAGCGTAAGTTTATTGGTTGTCATCCAAGTCGATATTTTGATCAGCTCCTCGTTAACAATGGTGTTGAGGGTGGCAAGATTAGGGTGAGAGATGACATAAGTCGTGTCGTCAGCAAAGAGAATGGGTTTCAGGTGTTGGGATACGTTTGGAAGATCATTGATGTATATGAGGAAGAGCAGGGGACCAAGGACACTTCCCTGCGGAACGACAGTATCAAGTGGCCATGTTGTTGATGCTGTGTCTTTAATGGTGACATACTGATGCCTATTAGTAAGGTAAGATTTGAAATAAGCAGGCGCATGGCCTCTTATACCGTAATGGTCAAGTTTGTGGAGTAGGATGTCATGGTCTACTGTGTCAAAAGCTTTTCTTAGGTCAATAAAAATTCCTAGTGGATATTCCTTATTCCTTTGATGAGGGGAAAAGGGTGAGTGGTGCACTTAGGAGTCTGTGGAGACAAAGAACTTTGTCCTTGGAGGCAAAGAGGGGAATGTATGAGGGTATTGTTTTACCAACGCTCTTATATGGATGTGAAGCATGGGTGATGAATGTTGCAGCGAGGAGAAGGCTGGAGGCAGTGGAGATGTCATGTCTGAGGGCAATGTGTGGTGTGAATATAATGCAGAGAATTCGTAGTTTGGAAGTTAGGAGGAGGTGCGGGATTACCAAAACTGTTGTCCAGAGGGCTGAGGAAGGTTGTTGATGTGGTTCGGACATGTAGAGAGAATGGAGCGAAACAGAGTGACTTCAAGAGTGTATCAGTCTGTAGTGGAAGGAAGGCGGGGTAGGGGTTGGCCTAGGAAAGGTTGGAGGGGGGGGGGGGTAAAGGAGGTTTTGTGTGCGAGAGGCTTGGACTTCCAGCAGGCATGCGTGAGCGTGTTTGATAGGAGTGAATGGAGACAAATGGTTTTTAATTATTGACGTGCTGTTGGAGTGTGAGCAAAGTAACATTTATGAAGGGGTTCAGGGAAACTGGCAGGCCAGACCTGAGTCCTGGAGATGGGAAGTACAGTGCTTGCACTCTGAAGGAGGGGTGTTAATGTTGCAGTTTAAAAACTGTAGTGTAAAGCACCCCTCTGGCAAGACAGTGATGGAGTGAATGATGGTGAAAGTTTTTCTTTTTTGGGCCACCCTGCCTTGGTGGGAATCGGCCAGTGTGATAATAAAAAAAATAATAATGCATAAAACTATTTAAATGCATTTTGGTCACTGAGTGATCCAACACAAGTTATATTCCATGTTGCATTATTCTTCCTCACTCACAGGGAAGACCCTTCAGAGAGGGGAGGGGGAGGAGGAGAGAGTAAATGAAATGATGGAACATGTGGCCACAAAGTGCAGGGAGGCAGAGGAAAAGTTCATACCCAGGGGCAACAGAAACTGGGAGGACCAGAGTGAGCCCATGGTTTACCCTGATGTGTAGAGAGGCCAAAGCCAAGAGTGCTTGAACATGGAAAAAGTAGAGAAGGCAAAGAACTCAGGAAAACAAGGCAGTGAGTCGAACAGACAGAAATGAATATGCATGGATTAGGAGGAAGACCCAGCAGCAATTTGAAAATTACAGCATCAAAAGTCAAATCTGACACTAAGTTGTTATACAGCCACATCAGGAGGAAAACAGTAGACAAGGACCATGTAATCAATCTGAAGAAGGAAGGCAGGGAGCTCACAAGGAATGACCAGAAATTATGCAAAGAGATCAGCATAAGATTTAGGGAGGTAATCTCAGAGGAGACGGAAAGGTTTCCAGCAAACCGAGGTGGTAGAGTACACCAGCAAGTGCTGGACACAATACACACAACTGAGGAGGAGGTGAAGAAACTGCTGTGTGAATTAGATATCTCGAAGGTGGTGGGCCCAGATAACATCTCTCCATGGGTCTAGAGGGAGGGAGCAGAGGCACTGTGTGGGCCACTAACAACAAGGAAGCAGACAGGTAGAATTTAACTACAGACCAGCATTACTGACATGTATAATATGTAAAATCATGGAGAAGATTATTGCAAGAGTGGTGAAACACCTAGAAAGGAATGGGGTCATACAAGACAATCAGCATGGCTTCAGGGATGGAAATTCCTGTGTCACAAACCTGCTGGAGTTCTACAAGGTAATAGAAGACAGGAAAGAGAGGGAGAGGTAGACTGCATTTTGTTGGAGTGTAAGGCTTTTGACACAGTACTGCACAAGAGACTGGTACAAAAGTTAGAAGAGCAGGCAGGAATAACAGGAAAAGCACTGTAATGGATCAGGGAATACCTGACAGGAAAGAAACAATGAGTAATGGTATGTGATGGGGTGTTGGAGTCGGCACATGTGTTGAGTGCAGTTCCACAAGGGTCAGTCCTAGGGTCAGAGCTGTTTTTTGTATATGTAAATTACATGACAGGAGAAACAGAGTCAAAGGTGTCCTTGTTTGTAGATGTTGTGAAACTAATAGAGACTGTACATTGTCCTGTGTAATCTTAGGGCCAGGATCCAAGCCAATCTCCAAGCTAAGGTTGTACTGAACACATATTGGAAGGCATGCAACTGAGTAATAAAGTCACTTTGTAAGCCAAGATGTAAGATTATGGGATGTTTATGTTTTTAGTTCCAGAGCCTAAACCCTGAAACATGCACTAATCTTGTTTGGCAAAAGAATTATTGCTGTGTAAGCTGTGGGCACAAGTTCTGGATAAAAAAATAAGAAAAGAGGCACATGCTAAACTGAGCTAAGTGCTCACACAAACAAGCATACTGGTATGTATGCTACATGAATATGTTGTATGCAGATGAGGATGTATTGTGTTGCCAACTGAAAAACAATTAGCACTTGTTACTACCAATATCTCTCGAGTCTTTAAGAGGGTGGAAATAATGAAAAATGACAGTAATAATAATGATAAAAAAATGTAGTGATAATAATGACAATGAAGATGATTATGATACAGTAATTATGATACTTATAATGACAATGATGCTGAAGGTAATGACAAACAACAACCACAGCAATAAACAAAATAAATATTTTTTTGCTTTTGTTTTTTAACACGGTGGCAAAAGAAAAAAAAAATCACTCACACATAATCACTGTTTTTGCAAAAGTGCTCAGATACAACAGCTTAGACATCCCTCCAAACTGCCAATATCCCAAACCCCTCCTTTAGAGTGCAGGCATTGTACTTTCCACACTCCAACAGATGGTCAAGTCCCAAAAACCATCCATCTCCATTCACTCCTATCTAACATGCTCACACACACTACTAATTCTCTGCATAACATTTACACCACGTATTGCCCTTAGACACATCTCCACTGCCTCCAGCCATCTCTTCACTGCAGCATTTACAACCCATGCTTCACACCCACATAAGTGTTGGTACCACTATCAGTGGCAGCTCATAGCTAAAATTAATGGAGGTGCTGCTTCAGAAAATTTTAGCCATTGTTTTAATATTGTATAAATCAAAACAAGCATATATGCTTGTTGTTGTTGCTTATTCCTGGCTGAGATATTTAAATATCAGGTGTTGAATGGCCTCTTTTCTTAACTGTAACTTTCTCATGGGGAAACAACTGTGAAAACTTAAGCTGTTGAAGTTCACTTACGATCACAGAACTTATTTCTTGGGGATGCAAGGAGGCCATGATTAAATTATTTGAATTTTCTGTAAAATAAAATAACCAAAAAAAGCTATGAATTAAATAAAATAGTTGGAAAATGGGTGGGTGAGATGTTATCAACAAATTTTGTTGAAAAAAAGAAAAAGTTTTGGAGTGAGATTAACAAGTTAAGGAAGCCTAGAGATCAAATGGATTTGTCAGTTAAAAATAGGAGAGGAGAGTTATTAAATGGAGAGTTAGAGGTATTGGGAAGATGGAGGGAATATTTTGAGGAATTGTTAAATGTTGATGAAGATAGGGAAGCTGTGATTTCGTGTACAGGGCAAGGAGGAATAACATCTTGTAGGAGTGAGGAAGAGCCAGTTGTGAGTGTTGGGGAAGTTCGTGAGGCAGTAGGTAAAATGAAAGGGGGTAAGGCAGCCGGGATTGATGGGATAAAGATAGAAATGTTAAAAGCAGGTGGGGATATAGTTTTGGAGTGGTTGGTGCAATTATTTAATAAATGTATGGAAGAGGGTAAGGTACCTAGGGATTGGCAGAGAGCATGCATAGTTCCTGTGTATAAAGGCACAGGGGACAAAAGAGAGTGCAAAAATTATAGGGGGATAAGTCTGTTGAGTATACCTGGTAAAGTGTATGGTAGAGTTATTATTGAAAGAATTAAGAGTAAGACGGAGAATAGGATAGCAGATGAACAAAGAGGCTTTAGGAAAGGTAGGGGGTGTGTGGACCAGGTGTTTACAGTGAAACATATAAGTGAACAGTATTTAGATAAGGCTTAAGAGGTCTTTGTGGCATTTATGGATTTGGAAAAGGTGTATGACAGGGTGGATAGGGGGCAATGGGGCAGATGTTGCAGGTGTATGGTGTAGGAGGTAGGTTACTGAAAACAGTGAAGAGTTTTTACGAGGATAGTGAGGCTCAAGTTAGAGTATGTAGGAAAGAGGGAAATTATTTCCCAGTAAAAGTAGGCCTTAGACAAGGATGTGTGATGTCATCGTGGTTGTTTAATATATTTATAGATGGGGTTGTAAGAGAAGTAAATGCGAGGGTCTTGGCAAGAGGCGTGGAGTTAAAAGATAAAGAATCACACAAAGTGGGAGTTGTCACAGTTGCTCTTTGCTGATGACACTGTGCTCTTGGGAGATTCTGAAGAGAAGTTGCAGAGATTGGTGGATGAACTTGGTAGGGTATGCAAAAGAAGAAAATTAAAAGTGAATACAGGAAAGAGTAAGGTTATGAGGATAACAAAAAAATTAGGTGATAAAAGATTGGATATCAGATTGGAGGGAGAGAGTATGGAGGAGGTGAATGTATTCAGATATTTGGGAGTGGACGTGTCAGCGGATGGGTCTATGAAAGATGAGGTGAATCATAGAATTGATGAGGGGAAAAGGGTTAGTGGTGCACTTAGGAGTCTGTGGAGACAAAGAACTTTGTCCTTGGAGGCAAAGAGGGGAATGTATGAGAGTATAGTTTTACCAACGCTCTTATATGGGTGTGAAGCATGGGTGATGAATGTTGCAGCGAGGAGAAGGCTGAAGGCAGTGGAGATGTCATGTCTGAGGGCAATGTGTGGTGTGAATATAATGCAGAGAATTCGTAGTTTGGAAGTTAGGAGGAGGTGCAGGATTACCAAAACTGTTGTCCAGAGGGCTGAGGAAGGGTTGTTGAGGTGGTTCGGACATGTAGAGAGAATGGAGCGTAACAGAATGACTTCAAGAGTGTATCAGTCTGTAGTGGAAGGAAGGCGGGGTAGGGGTCGGCCTAGGAAAGGTTGGAGGGAGGGGGTAAAGGAGGTTTTGTGTGCGAGGGGCTTGGACTTCCAGCAGGCATGCGTGAGCGTGTTTGATAGGAGTGAATGGAGACAAATGGTTTTTAATACTTGACGTGCTGTTGGAGTGTGAGCAAATTAACATTTATGAAGGGGTTCAGGGAAGCCGGCAGGCCAGACTTGAGTCCTGGAGATGGGAAGTACAGTGCCTGCACTCTGAAGGAGGGGTGTTAATGTTGCAGCTTAAAAACTGTAGTGTAAAGCACCCTTCTGGCAAGACAGTGATGGAGTGAATGATGGTGAAAGTTTTTCTTTTTCTGGCCACCCTGCCTTGGTGGGAATCGGCCAGTGTGATGATAATAATAAGAAGTTGGAAAATAATAATCATCTAATTCTACACTTTATCACAGTCAAGAATATGGTACGTACATGGTTTTTAAGCACAGCACACGTCGCCGAGTCAATAATAAACACTACCTTATACTTGCATACCAGGGTCGGCACTACGTCAGTGACAGTGCTCTCTCTACCTGGCGTGCAGCATCTTATCTTGGACATGTGCGCATGCGCACAACAGCCAAACACAGAGTCGCTGGAACTGTGAAGTGCTTGCTGGAAGTCCAAGCCCCTCGCACACAAAACCTCCTTTACCCCTTCCCTCCAACCTTTCCTAGTCCGACCCCTACCCCGCCTTCCCTCCACTACAGATTTATACACTCTCTAAGTCATTCTGTTTTGTTCCATTCTCTCTACATGTCCAAACTGCCTCAACAATCCCTCCTCAGCCCTCTGGATAATAGTTTTGGTAATCCCACACCACCTAATTTCCAAACTACAAATTCTCTGCATTATATTCACACCACACATTGCCCTCAGACATGACATCTCCACTGCCCCCAGCCTTCTCCTCATTGCAACATTCATCACCCATGCTTCACACCCATACAAAATATATAATTATTGTATATAATTATTATTGTATATATTATTGTATAATTTATTATTGTATACTAAATGGTTCTAGCTACTACTACAATCTTTGATGGGATTCAGGAGTGTTTACTCACACTACCTTCATAATCTTTCCTACAATTGTTTTTCTAAATAGTCTCAAAATGGAAAGTCATTTGAATTTTATTTTCACAATAAATTCACAAACTTTAAATGAATTTGCTATCACACTGGCAGTGAATGAAAAAAAATTAGATTTCTAAGTACCTTCTGTCCATATCTGCCGGGTGCACCTGGAGTTCCTGGAAGACCAATGGGTCCTGTTTGACCTTTAGCACCTGTGTAGCTTATGCCAGGTAATCCAGGTAGGCCAACTCCTCCAATAATTCCAGGAAAACCCATTTGTCCATAATCGCCTTGCAAACCTGAAGTGATAAGTGCAAAATAATATAATGATCAATGTCACTTACAGCTTAAAATTCAACAGTACAGTGGACCCCTGGTTTTCGTCTGGTCCAGATATCGTACAATTCGGATTTCAACCACTTTTTTGGCGAATTTTTACCCCAGATTTCGTACATCCGCTCGAAAATCGTCAGTGTCACTCTTGGACACATGAAATGTCTTATTTTAGGTTAATATAGACATTTCCATTAATCCATCTATGATATTCTCTTCAAAATTATATAAGAAACACATTACATAGCATATAAACAAGCAATGCTTATATTCTACGGAGGTGTGCTTTCCAGGCAGAAGGAAAACATTACATTTTCTCTGGTCCAGCATCAGAGAAAACGTGGATGAATCTGCGTTCGTCCAGTCACCGCCCTTAATATATAACGCTTTTGTTTACAATTCTCGGCATGAATTATTCATTACTTCTCCCTTTGTTTATGATGGCATCTAAAGGTAGTTGTTAGAAACAATTAAAATCAGTAAACATGGTATGTCAATGGTAATAATATGGCTCTGGGCTGCATTAAATATCATGTAGCTAGGATGTGGAAGAGTTGGTGGAGAAATATCACCCTAAGAAAGTTGCTGCAAGCCGTGTCTGCATAGTCCAGTGACTCTCAAGGTGGTCCTAGTGCCAGTAAAAGACAGAAGAGAAGTAAGCCCAGATAGGGCTTTGATACCTGAAGTCCTTATGGAGGAAGATTCGACTTCCAAACAATAACCTCTCCCCCCTCTCCCCTCCTCGCTGCCTTCCATATGCCAATAAGTCTCTTCAATAAGTAAAGATAAAAGTGATTTAAATATTCATTTATCCATTAAAATTAGTCATTTATATTTATTTCTCATTGTTTTCTGTATGTAAAACTATAGTTATTCTCTATAAAATGTATTTTTTGTTAATATTTTTGGGTGTCTTGAAAGGATTAACTGGATTTACATTATTTCTTAAGGGAAATATTACTTCGGTTTTTGTCTGTTTTGGATTTCAATCTACCTTCTGGAAAGGATTAAGGATGAAAACTTGGGGTCCACTGTATTGCATTTAGCCCCTTAACTGTCCAAATGTAGATCTACGTTCTCTCGCCCAGCGCTCTGAATATTTTGGAAAAAAACAAAAAAAATTAAATAAAGAGGTCATTTTTCTAGTACGTACAAGTAATATGATAAAAAAATTTAGGGTCAGTACTTACCAAGATATAGGATCGTGAAGTTGGTACTGGATGCTCACCTGATGGCAACATGGAGTTCTGCTGCTTGCAGAAATGTTGCCGATATACCTTTTTTTCCTCCGTGGGAAAGTGGAACAGAATTCTTCCTCCGTAAGCCATTCATGTTGTAAGAGGCGACTAAAATGCCAGGAGCAAGGGGCTAGTAACCCCTTCTCCTGTATATATTACTAAATGTAAACAAAGAAATTTTCATTTTTCCTTTTGGGCCACCCCGCTTCGGTGGGATACGGCCGGTGTGTTGAAAGAAGAAGAAAGATATCTTTTTTCTCGTTTTTTTTAATTGATATAATTTTTTTGTTTTGATAATTACAATTAGTAGTAGTTCTTATGATTTCATAGCCAATCTTTGTTCTGACACTAATATTAGGTACCCTACCAGCCCCTTCACAGCTACTACAACTAACCCATCCCTTTGGGTAGAACCTACTTCCACTGGGAAATCCAGCCTACCAGTGACTATGCCCTCATCTGCTACACGTCCCTTTCCACTGACACCTACATAAACGCCAGTCTCCTTGCCTTTGCTTCAGAAACTCTACTACCACGGTGCTCTCTACACCAACTCCAAGGCTGAGGGGCTGATTACCTCATCTTTTGTACATAGTTCTGTCTTCTATTTTTTTTTTTTTCAACAAGTCGGCCGTCTCCCACCAAGGCAGGGTGACCTAAAAAAGAAAGAAAATCCCCAAAAAGAAAATACTTTCATCATCATTCAACACTTTCACCTCACTCACACATAATCACTGTTTTTGCAGAGGTGCCCAGAATACAACAGCTTAGAAGCATATAGTATGTATAAAGATACACAACATATCCCTCCAAACTGCCAATATCCCGAACCCCTCCTTTAGAGTGCAGGCATTGTACTTCCCATTTCCAGGACTCAAGTCCAGCTATATAAAAATAACCGATTTCCCTGAATCCCTTCACTAAATATTATCCTGCTCACACTCCAACAGCTCCTCAGGTCCCAAATACCATTCGTCTTCTAATTATGTCCTAGAATCTGTATTCATTAAGCCACTGGATGGCGAAATGTCTACAATAAAGATAACCAGATGTTGCACATGTGTCTTAACTTCCGCCAAGCGTGTGTGAGCATGTTAGATAGGAGTAAATGGAGACGAATGGTTTTTGGGACTTGAGCTGTTGGAGTGTAAGCTGGGTAATATTTAGTGAAGGGATTCAGGGAAACCAGTTATTATAGATTCAGACAGACCTGAGTCCTAGAAATGGGAAGTACAATGCCTGCATTTTAAAGGAGGGATCTGGGATATTGACAGTTTGGAGAGATTTCTAAACTGTCGTATCTGAGCGCCTCTGCAAATACAGTGATTATGTATGAGTGAGGTGAAAGTGTTGAATGATGATGAAAGTATTTTCTTTTTGGGGATTTTCTTTCTTTTTGGGTCACCCTGCCTCAGTGGGAGACAGCCAACTTGTTAAATAATAATAATACATATCTTTCTGCAAGTACATGTACAAGGTATACAGGCCTAGCTAACATCAATGACATACTCCTAAATAGAAAGTCACTCGTTATGCAGAGTATTTTGGGAAAATTAGGTCAATTTTGTCCCAGGATGAGACCCACACCAGTTGAGTAACACCCAGGTACCCATTTTACTGATGTGTGAACAGGGACAACAGGTGTAAGGAAACACACCTAATGTTTCCACCCTTGCCGAGAATCAAACCACAGACCCTCAGCGTGTGAAGCAAGAGCTTTGCCTACCAGGCCACAGGCTACCTTAAATAGGAATAAGAATTATTATGCAATACATACATGAAAGCAAAAACAAGTGTATACTGAAGATAAGCAGAAATTAGCAAAGTTTAGCTGCCATCTTAAATGTTCATGAAGCATAACACTTGATGCAATGCAAAATACTTATTAACCTTCCATTTCACTCATAAAATAATAGGACAGTACAGACATTCCTCACTTGATAATCTACCTGCTTAACAATTGCGTAGACTTACAACCAGCTCTCTGACCAGTCAGTATTATATGCTGTATAAGAACTTTGGGTGAGGGAAAGGTAACTAATGAAGATTTAATAGAGCTGAAAGTGCAGCAGAACTTGGAAGAGGAAGAAGAGGAAAAAAATAAAAGAAACACAAAAGTTTACTTTAAAGGAGTTAGCTGGTGTGTTCTCGAAAGTGAATGCAGAATGGAACTCGGTCATTTAGTGACGAGTGCCTGTAGTACCTTCTTAGATGACTGCTGCTTATCATCCTACTAGTGTATATAGCTATGACTTCAAACAAAAATATTCTGTCCAAGAAAAACAATACAACATGAAAACTTTATAAAAGTAGTGTCCCATAGTTGATTCAAGTAACCAGCTAAAATGGTATGGCACTAATTATCTATTTGGGATTATCCATTTTTATTTTTAAGAGGAAAGCTATGCTTGACAGGTGACCAATATAGCCTGTACCACTAATTCATACTACTTCTCAAGTGTGTTTTGGTAATTAACCAGACCAGAAATTACATAATTTTCCATTGCATTGCCATGCTTCAATTGCTGAACAACCTAAGTCACCTAAGAAATTAAATACAACGTCTCCTCACTTAGCAATGTACTCATTTACTGATGACTCGGACTTATGATGGGTTCTCTGACCAGTATGCATACCTAAATAATGTATATGTATTAGAGTTGATTTCCTATACCTGGAGTTTACCTGGAGAGAGTTCCGGGGGTCAACGCCCCCGCGGCTCGGTCTGTGACCAGGTTTCCTGGTGGATCAGAGCCTGATCAACCAGGCTGTTACTGCTGGCTGCATGCAATCCAACGTACAAGCCACAGCCCGGCTGGTCAGGTACCAACTTTAGGTGCTTGTCCAGTGCCAGCTTGAAGACTGCCAGGGGTCTATTGGTAATCCCCCTTATGTATGCTGGGAGGCAGTTGAACAGTCTCGGGCCCCTCACACTTATTGAATTGTCTCTTAACGTGCTAGTGACACCCCTGCTTTTCATTGAGGGGATGCTGCATCGTCTGCCAAGTGTTTTGCTTTCGTTATGAGTGATTTTCGTGTGCAAGTTCGGTACTAGTCCCTCTAGGATTTTCCAGGTGTATATAATCATGTATCTCTCCCGCCTGTGTTCCAGGGAATACAGGTTCAGGAACTTTAAGCACTCCCAGTAATTGAGGTATTTTATCTCCGTTATGCATGCTGTGAAAGTTCTCTGTACATTTTCTAGGTCAGCAATTTCACTTGCCTTGAAAGGTGCTGTTTGTGTGCAGCAATATTCCAGCCTAGATAGAACAAGCGACCTGAAGAGTGTCATCATGGGCTTGGCATCCCTAGTTTTGAAGGTTCTCATTATCCATCCTGTCATTTTTCTAGCAACTGCAATTGATATAATGTTATGGTCCTTGAAGGTGAGATCCTCCGACATGATCACTCCCAGGTCTTTGACGTTGGTTTTTCGCTCTATTTTGTGGCCGGAATTTGTTTTGCACTCTGATGAAGTTTTAATTTCCTCATGTTTACCAAATCGGAGTAATTGAAATTTCTCATCGTTGAATTTCATATTGTTTTATGCAGCCCATTGAAAGATTTGGTTGATGTCCGCCTGGAGCCTTGCAGTGCTTGCAATGGAAGACACTGTCATGCAGATTCGGGTGTCATCTGCAAAGGAAGACACGGTGCTGTGGCTGACATCCTTGTCTATGTCAGATACGAGGATGAGAAACAAGATGGGAGCGAGTACTGTGCCTTGTGGAACAGGGCTTTTCACCGTAGCCGCCTTGAACTTTACTCTGTTGACTACTACTCTTTGTGTTCTGTTTGTGAGGAAATTATAGATCCATCTACCAACTTTTCCTGTTATTCCTTTAGCATGCATTTTGTGCGCTATTACGCCATGGTCACACTTGTCGAAGGCTTTTGCAAAGTCTGTATATATTACATCTGTTTTGTTTATTACAATATACAGTACACTACTGAATAAACATTTAAAAATATGGTGCAAAGGTGACATTAAAACAATATCAAAGATGGTTAACATTAACCCACTACCATTATAGTATGCTCCTCACTTAGTGACAAACTCGTTTATCAATGTTGTCATAGGAACGAAACTCTGTCATTAAGGAAAAATAAGGTTATTTTCTAGAATCCCCCCAAAAAGTCGAACAAATTTTCCTTAAACCTTTGTAATTAATCATGACCCAAAAATAATGAAGATTTCATTATAGTTGCTGTTGCTTGTTGATCTAGAAATGTGTGGAGAGGTTTGATGTAATCTTGCACAATACCTGTACAAACATGATGGAGTTTATAAAAAGTAATGTATCGTTTTACCATAATCTTGCATTTACTAAGAATACTAATAGTAATGAAATATGAACAACAAACCTTTTTCACCAACATCACCATGACCAGAATAGGTTCCATTTAGACCGGGTGCACCACGGTAACCTATTTCTCCTGGGAAGCCCTTCTGACCCTGAAAAAATAAACTTTAATTATGAAATTTACAAATTTTTTAATTTTGTCTGGATAATACTATAATAAGGTCTGACAATTTAAAATCCTTAAAGTCTCTAATTAACCTGTGGCTTCAGTCACTTTATGCAACTATAAAGTCTGTTATAGTTTGTACTAACAGAAGAAAATTATACATTACAAAAAAATAAATACAGTGGACCCCCGGTTTACGATATTATTTCATTCCAGAAGTATGTTCAGGTGCCATTATTGAACGAATTTGTTCCCATAAGGAATATTGTGAATTAGATTAGTCCATTTCAGACCTGTCTAAGGGCAATGTGTGGTGTAAATATTATGCAGAAAATTCGGAGTGTGGAAATTAGGAGAAGGTGTGGAGTTAATAAAAGTATTAGTCAGAGGGCAGAAGAGGGGTTGTTAAGGTGGTTTGGTCATTTAGAGAGAATGGATCAAAGTAGAATGACATGGAAAGCATATAAATCTATAGGGGAAGGAAGGAGGGGTAGGGGTCGTCCTCGAAAGGGTTGGAGAGAGGGGGGTAAAGGAGGTTTTGTGGGCGAGGGGCTTGGACTTCCAGCAAGCGAGCGTGAGCGTGTTAGATAGGAGTGAATGAAGACGAATGATACTTGGGACCTGACGATCTGTTGGAGTGTGAGCAGGGTAATATTTAGTGAAGGGATTCAGGGAAACCGTTTATTTTCATATAGTCGGACTTGAGTCCTGGAAATGGGAAGTACAATGCCTACACTTTAAAGGAGGGGTTTGGGATATTGGCAGTTTGGAGGGATATGTTGTGTATCTTTATACGTATATGCTTCTAAACTGTTGTATTATGAGCACCTCTGCAAAAACAGTGATAATGTGTGAGTGTGGTGAAAGTGTTGAATGATGATGAAAGCATTTTCTTTTTGGGGATTTTCTTTCTTTTTTGGGCAACCCTGCCTCGGTGGGAGACGGCCGACTTGTTGAAAAAAAAAAAAAAAAATTCAGACCCCCAAACATACATGTAAAAAAGCACTTACATAAATGGTCGCATTGGGAGCTGATCGTAAAGCGGGGGTCCATTGTAAATGCATTTGCAAAATAACAAACTTCCAAATTCTATACTGTGATAGTGTATGCATTTACATACAGCATGAAAATAAAAAGAACACATATTACTAAGTAATTAATTTTCTTTTCCTATGTGTTGTAATTCTGTATATATGAAATGTATTTACTTCGAATGATATTTCTTGGCCTGATCGTAATAACCACTTTCATTAGCTGTACAAAACAGAACACTAATTATAAACTGCTTATGTAATGAATATCTGGAGTAAATTCATTCTTGCTTTATTTTGTACATGAACAAACTGTGTTACAGTAATAATGTGTTGTCTGGATAATAAAAAAATCTAAAAAAATAGAAATAAGACACCTTTTCTTTGGACAAATTACCATACAGTAAACTCTCAATATAATGCACCTCGATATAACAGACTTTTTAAATTATAGACAAAATTCACTGCGTAAATTGTACTTGTATCTTATTTATTTTCAGTCTTTACTGCTGTATATGTGTAAACAGTACATGAAGTGCCCTACTGGGTATACAGTAGAGTACTTTAGTGCATTTTATTGCAGTTTTTAACATTATTCCGATATAATGAATACCTCCTATTAGTCCATTATATCGAGGGTTTATTGTAATGTTTGCCAACAAATTTTTAGAAATTTTTTCATATTCAGAAAATCCTATAATGACAAAAAGCATTCTCCATTCTAAAAAAATCTAAATTCAGAGATATTTTCCTTATTTGGAAAATTAGGATTTTTAGATATCATTATAGATTAGACTTCCCAATTTGTGAAGAATAGACGTTTTTCAGATCAAAATTCTATTGGGACAATGTTTCAACCTGTGTAGATCTTTATCTAGCCATAACTTGATAAAATCTACACAGAGCAAAACTTTTTATTCAACAGCTATTTAACCTTTTAACTGTGTCCCATGTACTAATGCATATGCAGGTGATGTCAGTGTGTCCAGCATATTAGTACGTGTACACACAATTTTTTCGTACCATCAAATCTGCTACTTGTCAATATTTTTGTCTTCAGCACAACTCTTTCGGTCTTGTACAATCTCTTCATACTTTTGAAAAAATCTAAGGCCTGGAGGGTCTACAGAGTGCATCGTGATTAACTACACAGGCAATGACTAAGTGTCTGACATACTAGAGCACCTAACTAGCATAAGTAAACAATGTAGTCGGGTGTTGTTCCACCATCAACTTCTCTACCAGCAAACAGGGAGTGGAAGTGGCACAAACATAGCTTATTCATTCCAAATTTATTACAATTTCATGATACTAACACTGGAATTTAGTCACAAAGCATACTAAATAGATTTAACCTAGGATAACCCAATAGAGTCAAAAAATGTAACTTATTTCCATATTTTAAGGAGTATTACACCACAAAACAATTTATCATAAGTATTTCTTGTACAGTGTTAGAAAGTGTGAAGTAGTAAAAATTAAAATAAAAATAATTATCTCACCAAAATATTCTGTATATTCCAAGTGAAGCAATGTTGAGCTAAGCATTTTTCCATATTTGAAGTGCTGAAACATCTTGAAACATACCTTTTCTGAAGGTAATGACACCAAAAGTACAAAATTTGAGACCTATTTTATGACAATTTCATTGTTCTAGTCGACCAACTCTTAGCTATTCTGCTAGTATGCTTTCCATTCTATCGACTGAGCACAAGTATCTGCCCATTTAACTATTTCAACTACCCAATAAAGTGATTAAAAATAACTTTATTGGGTAGATGGTTATTTTTTCATTATACCTCATCAAATATTTGCAACTTACCACTCCATTGTCCTATCTTATTTTAATTGTAACTTACCAAAGCATTGTCCTTTTCAACTATTACTGCCCTTTTTATTAAATACTCTATTGCCCAACTTTATTTTAAACTCTTTATTATTGCCAATTTTATTTTATACTTTATTACCCAATATTATTTTAAAGTTTTTATTATTGCACTATTTTATTTTAGAATTTATTACCCAATTCTATACTTGCCCAATGCTACTTTATACTTTATTGCCTGATCTTATTTTAAACTTTTTATTATTGCCCTATTTTATTTTTAGATTTTATTACCCAATTTTATTATAAACTTTTTATTATTGCTCTATTCTATTTTAGACTATTACCCAACTTTATTTTATACTTTTCTTAACCTATTGTTGCCAAATTTTTCAAGCTTGTATATTCAACTCCAACTTTTTTGTTATCCTGTGTACTATCTTACTATCACAGTACAACCAAATCATTGTCATTTGTTATACTTGTGCTACCTTAATTTGTGATTTTTTCTTATCAATTTATATCTAGTTACACTTTAGTTCATGAAAACGACTTAGTGCAATTACAAGTGAGAATCAGGTGCTATTTTTAATTTTTATTTTTATTTATTATTTATTTTTATTTATTATCACACTGGCCGATTCCCACCAAGGCAGGGTGGCCCGAAAAAGAAAAACTTTCACCATCATTCACTCCATCACTGTCTTGCCAGAAGGGTGCTTTACACTACAGTTTTTAAACTGCAACATTAACACCCCTCCTTCAGAGTGCAGGCACTGTACTTCCCATCTCCAGGACTCAAGTCCGGCCTGCCGGTTTCCCTGAATCCCTTCATAAATGTTACTTTGCTCACACTCCAACAGCACGTCAAGTATTAAAAGCCATTTGTCTCCATTCACTCCTATCAAACACGCTCATGCATGCCTCCTGGAAGTCCAAACCCCTCGCACACAAAACCTCCTTTACCCCCTCCCTCCAACCTTTCCTAGGCCGACCCCTACCCCGCCTTCCTTCCACTACAGACTGATACACTCTTGAAGTCATTCTGTTTCGCTCCATTCTCTCTACATGTCCGAACCACCTCAACAACCCTTCCTCAGCCCTCTGGACAACAGTTTTGGTAATCCCGCACCTCCTCCTAACTTCCAAACTACGAATTCTCTGCATTATATTCACACCACACATTGCCCTCAGACATGACATCTCCACTGCCTCCAGCCTTCTCCTCGCTGCAACATTCATCACCCACGCTTCACACCCATATAAGAGCGTTGGTAAAACTATACTCTCATACATTCCCCTCTTTGCCTCCAAGGACAAAGTTCTTTGTCTCCACAGACTCCTAAGTGCACCACTCACTCTTTTTCCCTCATCAATTCTATGATTCACCTCATCTTTCATAGACCCATCCGCTGACACGTCCACTCCCAAATATCTGAATACGTTCACCTCCTCCATACTCTCTCCCTCCAATCTGATATTCAATCTTTCATCACCTAATCTTTTTTTATCCTCATAACCTTACTCTTTCCTGTATTCACCTTTAATTTTCTTCTTTTGCACACCCTACCAAATTCATCCACCACTCTCTGCAACTTCTCTTCAGAATCTCCCAAGAGCACAGTGTCATCAGCAAAGAGCAGCTGTGACAACTCCCACTTTGTGTGTGATTCTTTATCTTTTAACTCCACGCCTCTTGCCAAGACCCTCGCATTTACTTCTCTTACACCGAGTTGTACTTTAGTTTATTCTAGCGCAATACACAGACAACATCAAATTTCATTATTTTATTAGTGAATATACTCTATATGACCAATGTGCATTATATTCCCTAGCTCCTTCACTTTTTAGCTTTAGAATATTTACCATGTCTTATTCTTAAATCTAGTTATAGATTCACTATAAATCTTATGATTACAACCACTGATCCTGATACTAACCTTTTATTAAATGACTCAAATTAATCTAACAGCAACTGTAATTACTACACAACAGAACAAGCAAAGGTACTTCTCAGAGCCAAAAACAACCTAACTCTTTAACTACAATGTCAGATCTTTAAGAAACATTACAATGACCTCATAGCATTACTAAATTCCCTGCATGCCAGTATGTCCATCATTACTCTCA